CACAGCTAGTTTTTAACAATGTTATTGTTTTTGTTTTTGTTGGTATGGGGACTGAACCCAGGCTATTTTCCCTGAGCTACATTCTCAGCCCTTTTTTAAAATTTTGAGACAGGGTTTTACTAAGACATTGAATTGGTCAGGCTGGGCTTGAATTTGTAACCTTGCCTCAGCCTTCCAGAGTGCCAAGATTATAGGCTTGTGCCACCATCCCTGGCTTAGTTATTAGAAACTTAAATTATTTTGTTTCTTGATTTGATTTTTTAAAAGGTTTACTTGCATTTTCATTACTAATTGTGTTTCAGCCAATTGTGTCTGCCCTGTGCTGTTCATAACAGAGAACAGTTGTATATGTTTAAAACTGGAGACCATCTAAATGCCCACCAGTAAGGGGATTTCACATTATGGAAGATCTATCAGGTGGACTCCTGGACATCCATACACATCATGTGGATGTGGACTTGTTGGCATAAAAAGAGTCTCAACATAATGTGAATGAAAAAAGTGCTATACAAAATGTTCTATTACAGCCTTGGCAATTTAACGATTTAGAAAGACAGCATCTCAAAATAAAAAATATAAAGGGCTGGCGATGTAGCTCAGTGCAAAGGCCCTGGGTTCAATCCCCAATACAAAAAAAAAGTTATATATAAATATCATTCTATTTATTGTTGACAAAGGGGGTAGGAGATATGTACATGTATGTACATAAAGAAAAGATCTAGAGGGCCCAGGATTTAGCTCAGTGGTTTCGCTGCCTGCTGTGCAAGCGCAAGGACCCGAGTTTGATCCCCAGTATCAAAAAAAAAGAGAGAAAAAGAAAAGATCTAGAAGGAAATTTATCAAAATCAGTAGTTGTCATGGGAAGGGGTGGGTCTTTTAAAGTTCTTTGGCTTATTTGCATTTTAGGTGCTTAAGCACTAAAATAAAAGGATCTGAGATTTTATTTTGTCAGTGGGGGGGAGGGGGCATCAAACCCAAGGCCTTGCTCATTCTAGGCAAACACTATCACTGAGCTATGTCCCCAGCCTGGACTTAAATTTTTTTTGGTTTTTTGGTACTGGAGATTGAACCCAGAGCCTTTGGACTGAGTTATACTCCCCAGACCTTTTTTATTTTGAAAAAGTTTCTCAGCAAGTTCCTAAATTGCTCAATGAAGTTCAAACTTATGATTCTCCTGCTTCAGCCTCCCTGAGTACTGGGATTATAGTGCATGTCACTACACTCAGTTTAGACCTGAGATTTAAATTTTTTTTTTTTAAAGACAGGGTTTTGCTATGCAATTTAGCCTGGCCTGGGCTACATAGTGAGCTCTGAATTTTCAATGATTCTTCTGCCTCAGCCTCCTGAGTGCTGGGATTACAGCCACTGCATCTGGCTCTTTCCATTTGTAAAAATTTCCAGCCCAATGGTAGACTATTTTTTTGTTTTGTTTCTTGACACAAGGTCTCGCTGTGTAGTTCAGGATGCCTTGAACTCACTATGTAGCCCAGGCTGGTGTCAGACTCCTGGAGATCCTCCTGCCTCAGCCTCCAGAGTGCTGTGATTACAGGCTTATTCCACCATGCCCGGCTCCAAAGTAGACTATTATGTCTGCTTATTTAGCTATGTGTTCATATTTATTTATTTATGGTACAGTGGATAAAACCTAGGGCCTGGCACATGCTAGGAGAGTGCTCCACCACTGAGTTATACCCCAAAGCTCAACAATTTCTAAAAGAAGGACCAAATGTTTAAGGATATATCAAAATTTGCAAAAATTGTGCTTGTAGTGCCACAGTAGTGCCTGTTCATTTTGAGCCACTTTATCCGGTCCACCAAATTAGTTTTTGACCTAATGGTCTGTTGCTGACTTCACAAACCTTTTCGTGCATGCTCTCTGGTTACCAAAAGTAGCTCATATCCTCCAACCGTTTTTCATGGATGGGGAAACAGGCCTGAGACAGGGACTGAGCTGGAATTGTTTGGTGAATTTAATGTCCAGCTAGGATTTAAACCCAGAGCAGTGTGCAAGGCACACAAGGAAAGCTTAGTGTGAGAGTTGCCAGCTGTAGCAAATAAAAAAATAGGCCATTGGGCTGGGGATTTAGCTCAGTGGTTCTGTCACCTGCCTCGCAGGCACAAGATCCTGAATTCAATGCCCAGTACCAAAAAAAACAATAGGCCACTCAGTTAAATATGACTTTCAGGGGCTGTGAGTGTTGCTCAGGGTGAGAACATGCATAAGGCCATGGGTTTGATCACCAGTACCATGAAAAAAATCTAGAGAAAAATGAATAATTTTTTAGCATAAGCATGTCCCAAATTTTGTTTCTTTGAAACTCAAATTCAATTATCTTTTTTTTTTTTCTTGCTACTAGAGTTCCGCTACAGGGTCTTTGCACTGAGCTACACTGCCAAACCTTTTTATTTTTTATTTTTGGGTCTAAGTTGGTAAATTGTCCAAGTTGGGCTCAAACTTTAGATCCTCCTGCCCCAACCTCCCAGAATGCTGGGGTTGCAGGAGTGTGCCACTACATCCAGCTAAATGCTTTATAACTCTGACTCCCGATTCCCACTCTTGCGGCTCCTTAGGCACCTCTTCTCTCTCCACATTAGACCTTTTGTCCCCCTACCCCTTGTCTCTCTCTTTTTCAGGCAGTACTGGGAATTGAACCCAGGGAGCTTTGAACTACATCCCCAGCCCTTTTAATTTTTTTTTTTTTTTTGGTACCGGGGATCGAACTCAGGTCCTTGTGCTTGTGAGACAGGCAGCGGAACCACTGAGCTAAATCCCCGGCCCTTGCCCTTTTAATTTTTAAAATTTGAGACAGGGTCTCACTAAATTGCCCAAGATGCCTCCTGATTAGCTGGCATGAAGGCATGGGCCAGCATGCCCAGCTCCCCCAAGTGGCCTTCTGCCTCCTCATCCTCTGTGTTTCTCGAACAGGGGTCAGGCTCCTCCCCACCAGCTTATCTCAGTAGCTCTCTGTAGACCCCGCCTGGCCACCAACACCCAACTCTGGGACCACAGCTGCCATTTGCCTTCTGTCAGGTTTTGGGAACCCCATTGTCTGGGTTTCCATTTCCTTCCCACCTGCTCCTTCTCATTTCCCCTCCTGTTCCTCAGAATCCTGACCCTGGCCCTTGGACTCCCAAGGCAGATGGCCAGGGCTGAGAGCTCCTGTTCTTTCTCCACCTGGGCCATCTTTCTGGGCCCAGACTCATCTGTGCCCCTACCTGTTGGATGCCCAGGGCCCCAGGTGGGTGACTTCACTCTACTCCTTCCTTAGAACCTTTGGTGGCTCCTTGGCCCTTAGGATAAAGTCAGAAACAGACAAAGCCCCTCATGGTAACCCTTGACTTCAGCTCTCTTTAAGATACTCCCTATTCCCAGAATAGACTTTTTTCACAAAGCCCATTGGGCTTCAAGGAGCTTCAAATGTCATTGTTCTCCTTCCCTGGCTCATCTTAGAAGACTCAGTTCCAGGTGACCCCTTCTTGAGGGTGCTTGTCTCCTCTAGACTGGGTTATTCTTTTTTGTGTGTGTGACACAGGGTCTCACTATATAGTTCAGGCTGGCCTTGAACTCACTGTGTAGCTCAGGGTGGCCTCAAACTCATGGTGATCCTCCTGCCTCAGCCTCCCAAGTGCTGGGATCACAGGTATGCACCACCATGCCTAGCTGAGACTGGGTTATTCCTTATCACTAAGTTACCTTCCACTTGCCTGATACTGTCTTCTCCACCTCTTGGTTCCCAGCATCCAGTCTAGTAAATGTACCTCAGGGCCTGACCCCAACATGGATTCTAATTTCCTCTCAACAACCTGACATCAATCCAATCTAACTCTGTCCAAGCTCTGACCTAACTTGAGACCCCAGTTCCCTTTTGACCTTACCTCATCCTTGACCCTGACAGCACACGTAAAACAGGACTAAAGGCAAGTGTCCCCTCTTACAGCAGTATGTTCCTCCCCAAAGGAAGGAACACAGAATCCTGAGTCTCCTCAAGATTTGCAGAGGAGAGTGAGAGACAGAACCTCAGACATCTGGGGCTCAGGGGAAGTTCATTCCTGAAGGAGGACTTCCGACTAGGAAGCCTGGGACTGCAGTCTACCCCTACCTGTCCCCGCAGTGACCTATGGGTAGGTTGGGATGGGATGTATTGGAATTGGGACTGGGGCTATGCAGGTTACAGACCTGGCCTGACCTTTGGCACCCTCTAGAGAACAGTTTCATTCCCAAAGTGGAGTGTTGGGCAAGCAAATCCTAAACCCTCTCCCACGAAGGACTGTGGGCCTCAGACTACTGCCCATTGTCCACCACTCCACTGGCAGGTGTCCTTACAGTCTGCATGTCAGGACTTCAACACCAGCTCAAATCCCCAACTGCCCATCCTGTCCTTCCAGGCCTAGTCAGGCCCCACAGCTGGTCTAGGCTCCGTCCTGACCCACCTCAGTCACTGAGTTCCCATAGCCCTAAGTGGAAGCCTCCCACGGCCCAACTTTGGTTTCATTTGGAGGCCTTACCTTTCCCAAGGGAGGTGTTTTCCTCAGGACAGGGTCAGGTTTCTCCCTCCCCTCTTGAACAGGGATTTCCCTGCAAATATGGCTTTTGTATCCTCTGTACTCTCAGACTGGGGGCCCCTGGAAGCTGTCTCTCCTCCCTAAGGACTGACCCAGGATCTCCTCCTCCATCCCTCCACCTGGCTGTTGATCTTCAAAAAATTCTAACTCCAGTCCCAGTTCTGCATAGCTCTTCCTGTAGCTGGGGCTCAGGTGGCCTTGTAGCCTTCCATGGGTCTGGACACCTGAAGCAGTTACCTCAGGCCCTGGCCCCAGAGACAGGCCCAACCCTTGGCTTGGAGGACTGAGTCCCAGCATGCCCACCAGGAATTCCACTTCTTCCCTCGTGAGGGCTGTCTCAGATCTCTGGTTTCATGGTGCAACTGGCAAAAGGAGGGATGCTATTTTGAGCAGTGTGTCTGGACTTGGCTCAAGTGGCACAGGCCAAACCCCTGCCCTACTGACTTCTCTCCTGGAAGAGCAGAAGCAACATTTAAGCCTCCCCTCCCCACTGGGGAGTGCTGAGAAGAGGCAGGCTCTAGGTTGGGGACACAGACAACAGAACCCCAGCTGGGAATGTAGTTTGAGCCAGGGATAGTCATGGAGGAATAAGATCAAGACCTGCTTTAATTGTGGAGCCCCCAGGGCAGAGCCTGAGGAATACAAAGGCACTTCCTGCAGAGTGAGTGGGGCTCCAGGCAGGGTGGGGACAGGGTGGCCTCCTCAGGGCACACGCCAAGAAGAGTTATGCCCTTGGGACCATACAGGGAAGAGGTGGGACTGTTTGGGAGAAGAGCATCAGGTGGAGTTAAAGGGTTGGCTTTCTGTTCTAGTTCAGTCCTGTGTTACTGTGGGACATGGGCACATCCCACCCTCTCTCTGGGCCTCTGTCTCCTTATCTGTACGTTGCTGCTGAGAGGACCAGAGTGCCTGGATGGAGATTAGGAGAATGTACTGAAAGGGCTCTCAGCAGAGAATGGGGCTGTTGCCAGTTAGAGGAAATCATTAATTGGCAAAGTGCAGCTCTGCTAGTGGCTCTCAGCCCATGGTGTTACCGCCCAGCCCTGAATATTACAGCTCTAGAGCTCTAAGGCGCCCCTAGCAGCTCCTCAGCAGCCAAGGCACACTCTGGGCAGCTATCTGGGGGTTTACAAGGCTGTTCCCTGTTGCTGTGCTGTGTTTCGGGACTGGTGCTGCTGATTGCCGCAGGTTAACACCACCACTTACTGCCTCTGCCAGATGCTGCTGGTCTCTGCTGCTGATCTCAAACTGATCTTTGCCAATTTCTACCCAGGTCCCTGGAACTCTTCAAGACAAGCAGCCTTTAGTGTCTACAGCTCTTTTTAAAGCCACTCGCTCTGCCCATACTACTTGCCGTAAGAATCCAGAGTAGATTTACAGAATCTTTCAAGCTGCACTACCAGAAAAATCTTAGAGCAGACTTTCAGAGCACTGGAGAGGGATTTTATTAGACAAGGCCTCTGCTGCAGCACGGGGGCGGAGCGGGGAGGGGTACGGCTGCCGCCAGGGTAAGAGATGAAGCCTTCCTATATCAACTGAAGAAATGTGAGGAAGGCAGTTTATATAGCAGCAGCAGGCCTGTGATTGATCCAAATTCGAGCCTGCTGATTGGTCCAAATTCAAACCTACTGATTCAAGCCTAGTGATTGGTCCAAATTCAGTTTTGCTGTCTGGTTCAAACACAAGCTGCTACAGTCAGGGCAGATATTTACAGTGGGTTTGAGGTGCCCAAGACAGTCACAGCTGTACTGGCGACAGTTGGGGGAACATGGGAAGAAGCAACTGCTTGAATGACAGCTGCTGAGTCTCCTCGAAAATGGCGGAGCTATAACCAGGGCTACCCCTGCTTTCCAGGAATATTCAAGAGCCCCAACGGTGTTAACCACAGCTTATTGGGGTCTGGGGATTTCGGGGTTGTTAACAATGGGCCCAGATCTCTCCCTGATCTCTGCCTGTCAGGGACGGTTTCCCAGGTCCTTCTTCAGAGAGGGGACAGCAGCGCGTGGATGGTGGGCACAGGAGAGGGACCCTGGCTGCCAGCAGAGCCACGGCTCCTGTCACTGTGGCCTGGAGAGTGGTTTCTTGGTAACCTTCGGTGGCAGGAGGACAGTATTGCCCCAGCCCACCCTCAGGGGACCCAGGGAGAGTGAAGGGAAGCAAGGGGGGTGGTGGCAGCTGTCAGTTGAGCCTGCCCCTTCCTGCTGTCACAGTTAAAGGCAAGACTCAGGCTATTTCTCCTGTCTCAGAGATGGGAGGAGGGGAGAGAGCTGACGACCAGCCCTCCTGGACCCAGGCAGAAGGGAGGCAGGTCAGAGATGGGTCCGATGCTGGTTTGCTGATTGCTTCCTTCCCCTGGGGGACTGGAGCTGGGGCTGGGGCTGGAGAATTTCTACGCTCAGGGTTGGGGATGCACATTTGTGCTGCAGTTAGAGGGAAGTGGAGTAGAGGATGAGGACTCATAGGATGGGGAAAACTGAAGGGGATATTTTCATGCTGTAGTTTGTGAGAAAAATAGGAGTACAGTGGGAAGTTTTAGGATGTGAGAGGGGAGACTTTTCTCTAAGGAGGGGGCATGGGCTAAAATGAATTTTCAGGACCTTATCCTGTGTGTGTGTGCGGGGGTGGGGGGTGGGGGTGGTCATAGGGAAAGGCTCTGGAAAGTCAGTTTAAATCAGCAGCGAGAATTGAGGTTGGACTAAAGCTGTGGTGGTAGCCTATGGCACGGGTGCCACAGAGGGCACACAGAGCCTTCTGTCTGCAGGCAAGCCAAGTCACTGCAGTGTTGCCCCAGCATCTGAGCATTCAGGTTTAATTGCGGTGTGGCACTTTTCAATAAATAAGTCGGTGTTGGGTTGCAGTTTGGGCATTCCTCAGGGCATGCTTCTTGAATGTGAGAGGCTGGAGCCACTGAAGGGAGGCTGTGGGTGTTGCACTGTCCAAATCTGGGTGGGTTGCAGGCTTTGGAAGGTCAAGAGGACCTTTGAAGGGCCTGATCCAGAAGTCAGGGGTCCTGAGGCCAGCAAGGTGGAGGGGTGGGAATCCAGGGCCTCTCCCTATTGGCTGAGACACACTCACCCCTGCTCCTCCCTCCCCTGCAATTTGGCTGGGTTGAGGGGGTGGCATTAACAGGAGCTGCCTGGTGGCTTCTGGGGAGTGAGGTCTCATGGGACTATGGAACAAGTTCTATGTTCCCCAGGCCTAGTGACCTCTCTTTGGCTTCACAGCATCTAAGAGTCCGAGAGACAAAATATGGCTCAAGCAGACAGACAGAAGCGGTAAGCACCCCATCCCTTTCCCCCACATCAATCCCGTCCTCAGGTCAGCCATCTCAGTGCCTTCCCTGCCCTGCCCTCAATCTCTCCCTCATGGCAGCTGCTCCCCTGGGTCCCCTCTTTTCTATCTGCCTGGTAGCCCACAGGGTCCCAGAGGAAGGGCCTCTCCCACCGGTCTCTCCTGTCCCCATAGTGCAGCCAATCATGAGGTGGGGGTGGGGGGTGGGGTCTGGAGTGAGGGGAGGCTTGGAAAGACCTGGATGCCCAGATCAGTTTCTGTGCAGTGGGATCTGAATGTTCCCATGTAGGAGGCACTCAGCTGGACCAAACTCACCACCGCCTGGCCTCTCAAGCTTGTTGCACTGGCAAAAGCCCTCACTATGTAGGCCCCTTTACCTCCCTGCCTAGCCCTCCCCAGGCTCACTCTCCTTAGTCTAGCCATACCACTTCCTTTGCTTTTTTTTTTTTTTTTCTGGTATGGGGAATTAACCTAGGGCCTTCATGCTGAGCTATATATCCAGTTGTTTTTCTCTTTTTCCTTCCCTCCTTCCTTCCTTCCTTCCATCCTTTCCTCCTTTATTTTATCCTTCCTTCCTTAGTTCCTCTTGCTTGCTTTTCTCTCTCTCTTTTTCTCTCTCTCTTTTTCTTTCTTTCTCTCTCTCTCTCTTTCTTTCTATCTTTCTTTCTTCTTCCCAGTACTGGGGATCGAACCCAGTGCCTTTGCACTGGGCCACATCCCTAGCCCCCTTTTAAAAGTTTTCTAAATTGTTAAATTGCTCAGGCTAGGCTTGAACTTGTGATCCTCCTGCCTCAGCCTCCTCAGAGTGCTGGGATTACAGGCATGTACCACCACGCCTAGCCAGCTTCCTTTGCTTTCTGCAGACAGGCTCAGAGTCCTGTGACTGTGCCTTCTGCCTGCAGTGTTCTTCCCACTGTCACCACATGGCTCCCTCCTGCACGTCCTTTGTGCACTTTCCGGTGCCAACTTCTCAGTGAGGCTGACCCTGACTATTCTACTTGAAGTCACCCCTCCCCACACACACTCCCAGTTCCCCTTTCCATGCCCTTCTCTTTCCCACTTCACCTTCTAACACACATAGGACTTGCTTATTCCGTTCCACTGCCGTCAGTCCCACATGCACAGGGATGCTCGCTTGTTTCTGTCATCTCGTAAGGACCGGGTGGCTGGTTCCCCATCTGTACTGATTGCTGTTTCAGCCCATGTCTCCCTCCTAGGCTTTAGCCTCTGCTTCCAAACACCTGCTGATGTCCTCGTGACAGCCCAGGTCCCTGCTGGAAGCCACATCCTCCACTGTGGCCAGGCCTACTCCTCTTCCTGTGGGCTCCACTCAGATAGGGCTCCTCTCTCTTCAGTTGTTCAAACCAGAAGTTAAAGCCATGTCCTTTTTTGTTTTTCCTAGTACTAGGGACTCAACCCAGTGCTTTTGCACTGAGCTACACCCCCAGCCCTATTTTTCTTACCACCACCCCCTTTTGTGCATTTCACTTTGGGACCAGGTCTCCCTAAGTTGTTAAGTTCCCCAGGCTGGGCTCAAACTTGCATTCCTCCTGCCTCAGCCTCCCACTCTGTGGGGACTAGAGGCATGTGCCACCATACCCAGATGAAAGCTGTGTCCTTGATGTTTCCTTCTCCCCTGCCTTACATTTAGTCACCCATATTATAGAATGTTTCTGCCTCCTGCTATTGCTTCTGCTGCCACCCTACTTTCCCATGGCAGATTTAGCCACTACTTGCCCTCTTCCTTCTCCTAAACTCCAACCCTGTACCTCCCCCAATACAGAAGTTGGGGCCTGAAACTCACTTTTTCATCTATCCATCCAACCATGCATTTATTGAATAAATATTTACCAAGTGCCAGGCACTATAGGAAACTGGGATCTAGTTGAGCCTAAGAGACAGATTTCCCATTCTCATTCATCCAATCTGTCTTTCTTGCACATCTCCCATGGCCTGGGACTGGTAAACACTGAGCATAAACCAGGAAGTAAGATCCCACCCCATCCTTCCCTTCCTCCTTCTGTCTTGCGCATTCATTCACAAACATCTCTTGGTGCTGATGTGTTGGCAGAGCCTGGTGCATTTTGTTGACCTCCTCATCTTCAACAGTACTCGGTGCATGCTTCAGGCCTCACTGAGCCCAGCACCAGACTTTGTTACATCCCATACAGTTTGCAGAGTGCCTCACTGTTGCCAGGTCCTGGCCTGTGACCCTCAACCTCTGGCTCCTGAAGACAGGCAGACAGACAAAGAGCTGAGCTTTACTTTCTAGCCTGCCTTCTCTGCCCCACTTCTCCCGGACAGCTCCTCACCACTGCAGATGGTAACTTTAGTTCTCCACCTGCTCCCTGTGCAAAATGTCCACATAGGCTCGCCCCTCCCAGGGGTCCATTTCCTGCTTGAAGGAGGGAAGAGCCTGGCTGGGCCATCTGCCTCAGTTCTTCTCCTCATCCCTGTGGCTCTCAGGTGGCTCCCACTTCCAGGGCAGGTGGCTGTCCTGGGCATAAGGAGGTGCTCATGGGAAGGCTGCTGGGTTACCTATTAACTCAGCCTGGAGTTGAAGGGCCGATGGGCGGTGGGTGGACTTGAGTCTCTTGTCTGTCCATGGGCCCGGGCTGCTGCTTCAGGTCCACTCGCAGTTCCACGATGGTCTGCTGGCCCATGCTGAAGAGGATACAAGTGGTACTGAAGAAGGAGATGGTTCGAGAATTCCTGGCTGAGTTCATGAGCACATATGTGATGATGGTGAGTGGGTGAGTGGCATGGGGTAGGTGGGGTACAGCTCATGAGCCCCTCCCCATGGCTGCCATGGATCATAGTGTTCTTTCTCCTGTCTCCAACCTGGGAGCCTCAGAAATAAGCAGAGGAATGTAAGGAGAGAAGCCTTTCTCACTTTTGTTTTGGAAGTTTTGAGATTGAACCTAGGGTTTTCGCACTGAGTTACATTCCCAGCCACATTTTTTTTTTTTTTTAATTTTGAGTCAGGGTCTTGCTAAGTCACTCAGCCTGGCCTCCTACTTGCAATTCTTCTGCCTCAGCCTCCCAGAGCTGTGTGCCATCACACCTAACATCTCAATAAATCTTTTTGGAACAGAGCCTGGAGTATTTTGCCGACCCTCTCACCTTCAGCAGAACTTGTGCTCATAGAAAGGGCTCAAAATATGCCAGGATAGATTGAAGCCATGGGCTCGAATGTCAAAAGTCATGGTTGGAAGTGGCAAGAAGAAAAACCAAGGGTAAAGTGGTTGATGAAAAACTTGACTGTCAGTCTTTGAGAATTAATCCTGAGGGCAACGAGGAGACCCTGAAGGTTGTCAAGTAGGGGAGTGATATGGTCAGATATGCATTTCAGAAGTCACTGTGGTTGCAGCGTGGAGGCCAAGCAGTACAGGTGAGGCCAGACAGGGAGCCAGTTAAGAGGCAGTGATTGGGCCGGGGATTTAGCTCAGTGGTTCTGCTGCCTGCCTCGAAAGCGCAAAGTCCTGAGTTCGATCCCTGGCACCAAAAAAAAAAAAAAAAGTAAGAGGCAGTGATCATAATTGAGTCTAGAGAGAGGGTGGTGATGGCACTGGGGATAGAAAAGACAGCACATATTGGGAGAGTTGTAGGAGACGGACTCAAGGAGACTGCAAGTGTGAGAAGTGGGCTAAATGCTGATGGGTTATTCTGGAGCAGGGGGCCAGCACAGGGTCAAAGGTGATGTTAGTTTAGATACAACCAGCCAAAATGACAGGGGAAAAATTCAGGACATGAATGCAGGGCTCTGGAGTTCAACAGAGGTGTGGTGGCCCTCGGGAGGCAGAAGAGGGAGAATCATCCTGAGTTGGAGGCCAACCTGGGCTACATAGTGAGTTCAAGGCCAGCTTGAACTATATAGCAAGACCCTGTCTCCAAAAAACAAATGTGTGTGTGTGTGTGTGTGTGTGTGTGTGTGTGTGTGAGAGAGAGAGAGAGAGAGAGATTGAAGGAAAACGGTAAAGTTAATTATCATTAGAATGAGTAGCAGTTATAAAGACTGTCCAGAGAGAATGAATGCATGCGTGTCAGAGGGTCTCTAGGCACCTGGCTTCTTACCTTGACCCTGACCTTAAATCAGCAGCTAGCCTTGGGCAGGTTTCTCCCTGGCCCTCAAGCCTGTCTTCTCAGCTCCTAAGCATTCAGAACCCAGTGTTCATGGGCTTTGGAGCTGCTTTTGAGTTCCAGTTCTGCTCTCTTCTAGCTGGGTGATCTTCCACAAGCCTTTTGACTGTTCAGAACATCAGCTTCCTTGTTGGTAAACTGGAACCCTAACACTGAGCAGGTAGAGTAGTGTGAAGAAGGCCTGGTGCCAGCAGCCAGCACACATGGAGTACACACGTATTGGCCCCTTGTTATTATGGCAAGTGTTCTCAGCTACTCTCTCCTCCCTATATCCCACCCCCTTCCCTTCATCCCTTACTTTTGCTTCTGAGCTGTAAGAAAAACAGCGAGGTGCTGTCCCTTCTTAATCCAGAACAAAGTGATTCATTTATGACAAGACATTCCAATCTCATGAAGCCTGTTAAACCTTGGAACCTTTGGCAAGCTCCTGAGGAAAGCAGGGATTGGCATCCTCTCTTGACACCTGCCCACATCTGCCTTCTTCTTTTTATTTGATTATTATTGAGCACCTATTGCATAGGAAGCACTATGATACTAAGCCCTTTCCATGCGCATCTTCCTAAGTCATGACAATAGCCCTAGAAAGCTGTATGTGGCTGAGGCAGAAGGATTGCCATGAGTTTGAGGACAGCCTGGGCTACATAGTGAGTTCAAGGCCAGCTTGAACTACATAGAGAGACCTTGTCTTAAAAAAACAAAAAGCCAAACCAACCAACCAACCAAAACAAACAAAAACCCCCAAACCACAATGGCCCTAAAGGTAGGTACTATTATTATCCTCATTTTACAGATGGGGAAATTGAGGCCCATAAGACTAAGTCACCTGTCCAAGGTCACACTTTAAGTTAAGATGAAATTGGGGTGAGGGATTTAGCTCAGTGGTACCACACCTGCCTTGCAAGTGCAAGGTCCTGAGTTCAATCCCCGGCACAAAAAAAAAAAAAAAAGAAAAGAAAAGAAATCTAGTTCCAGTTTAGTATCACAGTATTGCCCTTTAATCTCTTTTTTCTGTCCCTTAGCTTAGGGATAGCAGGTCTTTTTGTTGTTGTTGTTTTTGCATTTTTTAATTCTTTTTTCTGGTGGTGCTGAAGATCAAATCCAGGGCCTTGAGTGTGCTAGGCAAGTGCTCTGTCACTGAGTTGTAGCTGAAGCCCCTGAGGTGGTAGGATTTCTAAGATTCTAGCTTGTTAACTTTCCTCAAATGGGGAAAGGTCTTTGCTGTAGGCTTTGAGCAGTTTAAGACCCCTCTATGGGCCTCAGTTTCCCCATCTGTAAGTGACAGCAAAAACATTTGCTATACAGATTTTCTGTGAGTACTAAAGGGAAATAATGCTTGTAAAAGAACTTGGTGATGGGCCGGGGATTTAGCTCAGTGGCTCCGGCACCTGCCTTGCAAGCACAAGGTCCCGAGTTCAATCTCCGGTACCAAAAAAAAGAACAACAACAAAAAACCTTGGTGATGTTTAAGTTCCTGTAGGACATTATGTTGTTGTTATTTTTAGTTGCCAGGCCTGTGCCAAGAAGTAGGAGCTTTTTCAATTCATAGAAAGTTCAGTGAATCACCAGGGTAAAGGTTATGTTGCCCAAAAAGGTTGATGTGACCTTGGCCCCCATTTATTGCAGCCAAGATGAGGGAAATGATTGTTCTACTCTACAACTCCAGGATTGTTGTTCTCAGAGCTGGCTTCCTGGCTCTTGGCTGCATTCACTGACCAGGGGGGACAGGGGCTGGAGCCATCAGGGCCCTGGAAACCCATGTACAGGGCCCTATAGGGTTTGCTCGTGTAGGTATACATATGAGCCACAGGGCAAGGGTTGCCAATTCGTATGCTACCTCGGCCGAGTCAACGCAGGGTGGAGACTGGCCAACTGCAAATCACAGATCTGTGTAAGGATGTAGCTGCTGCTGCTGCAGCTGGCTGTTGCAATGGAGGGAAGAATGCAGGCCAGCATTGCCCAAGCTTCTTGTTTTTCAAGTGGAGCTAAACCTTCTCATCATCAAAGCCACATTATCCAAACAAAACCTGTGTGCTGGGTGGATTAGGTGTTGGCATTGCCATTTGGCCACCCTGACCCAGAAGATCATGTAGGGTTCATCCACTCATTCATTACTTTTAGCATATGGTTTTGACATGGGGGAAATGGCAATGAGGGTACCTCCACACCTGCTCTAGTCCTTCTACTTCTGGTTCCCCCTGCCTGTCAGCTGGCCTGGTCTGGCCCCCCCATCCCACCCCTGTTTGTTGCTGTCTTCTCCTGCTGCATCTTCTCCTGGACCCTAAAGTGGCCCATCTCTGGGCTCTCCTGCTCCTATCCAGGGCTCCTGCTCAACTGCCTCTTCTCTACCTTACCTGAGCTAGCTCACATTTCTCAGACTTTTCCAAAACTGTTCTATTCTCTGCTCATCATTGTTTAAATCAGCAAATGGCTTGATCTCCTACTTAACTGAGAAAATCATCAGGTGGGCTTCTTGAGTCCCCCTCCTCACCTTCCTGCCACTCCCACCACCTGTCATCCACACATCCCTCTTCAACTAGGACGAGTCCCCTTTTTCCTGGATGACCTCCAATTCTGATTAGTCCACCCCTCCAGTACACTCAAGAATGGTGCTGTGTCGTTTTCTGTCTCCTTTATCTTCAGTCTGAGTGTCTCACAGCCTATAAATATACTAAAGTCTCTCCATTTAAACCAGTATAACAAACCAGGTGTGGTGACATGCACCTGTAGCCCTGGCTACTTGGGAGCCTGAGGCAGGAGGATTCCAAGTTTGAAATCAGCCTCAGAATTTTTGTTTGTTTACAATACTGGAGAACACAGGTCTTCACATTAAGATATATTCCTAGCCCATTTTATTTTTTTGAGACAGGCTGTAGGGAACAGGGAAAGGGGACATTACCAGAAGCCCTGCAGTGAGTCCTGGTCTCCTGTGAACCACGACAGCACATGGCAAATTAATGAATACAGACAGGAAATGAGACTTAGAGAAGCTGAGCTTTGGGCCTGATCAATGTTGATCTGGGCAGCAAAGGCAAAGGCACCCTGAACTTGCCACTATTTTGGGGTTTCATAGGGAGTAACAGATGACTCAGAAGGTGGTGGTAATCCTAAAACCATGAGGGTCTTATGTTGATTAGGACAGCAAGATGAGCAAAGATGTTCTCACAACAGTAGGTGGGATGAGTGAAGCTGATAAGGAATTTGTCACTCACCAGGTGAGACCTTTCTACTTGGTTCTCAAAGAACCAGGATGTCTTCAGCTGATGTAATCTTGCCCTTGAGTATCACAGCACCATGGGACCATTGAGGTTTCAGCTGTAACCGGAGGCAGAAATGGAGTTATGTTTCATCATGTCATAGCTGGCCTGTAGGCAAGAAGACTAGGCCTGATCATAATTTAATTGTGAAATAACGTTTCCTCAAAATTATGTAGAATTGCTCCCAACAACTGGGCTCAAATTTTTAATCTCTTACCCTGCCTCCCAGAGTACAGGGATTACTGGTGTGCACCACCATACTCAGCTTGCCTGGAGAATTTAGTAAAACCCTATCTCAGAATAAAAATAAAAAGGGCTGGGGAAGTAGCTCAGCGTGAGGTCCTGTGTTCAATCCCAAGTATCAGAAAGCAAATGAAAACAATGTAACACAAAATGAAACATCCTTCCCTTTCTCCTGTGAGCCCCTCATTTATCATGTTACTTTCCCACACAATGCTTTCCCTGCAAGTTCTCAAAGAGATACTCTGGGATCTTTCAACTCTTTCTCAGCAGCCATGGGGTGTAAGAACATTTGCTTAGTATGAATGAGGACCTGGGTTCAATCCCCAGTACCATTAAAAAAAACTAAAAAAACTAAACCAAATAAATAAAACATATCCACGGCTAGGCAACACATATCATGTTACTACTGACTGCCACATTGTCAAATTGAAAGGAAGCTTCCAGCCTTCACATACTTGGCCCAGTTGCTGCACGTGACTGACGGTGTTGCCCGATGTTTGTCTCTGGCCTTAGTGGCACATTCTGTCTTTGTTATCCCATTTCAGCGCCTACTAACACTCACCTATGAGTGCTGCTGAACAGTCCTAAATTTAGCCCCCAGCTGCCTTCTTACCTTGTGCCCTCTCCTGGGCTCTCACCCACCAATGGCTTCAAGTGAGCCCTTCATTCATGTCCATAGTTCTCCAGGGTTTCTTTCATGAACCCTAGAGTAGAGCTGTCCAAGGAAGCTACATATGAGTCACATATGTAATTTAAAATGTTCTAGTAGCCACATTAACCAATCAAAGTGCACTAGGTGAAATTAATTTGAATAATTATTATGTTTAACCCATATTTCTAAAATATCATTTTACTTTTTTTTTTTTTGGTACTGGGATTGAACTCAGATCCTTGTGCTTTTGAAGCAAGTGACAGAACCACTGAGCTATAACCCAACCCTAAAATATCATTTCTTTAAACTCTATCTTTTCAGTAATGGAGATTGGACCTTAGAGAGTGCTGAGCTCATCCTTAGTCCTTTTAATTTTTTTTATTTTGAGACAGGGTCTCACTAAATTGTCTAGACTTGCCTCGAAATTGTGGCCCTCCTGTCTCACTCTCCAGAGCAGCTGAGATTATAGGTTTGTGCCACCATGCCCAGCCCAAAATATCATTTCAACATGTAACTAATACAATATTTTTTTTTTTTTCCGGTATCAGGGATTGCACTCAGGACCTTACAGTTTCGAGGGAATTGCAGTGCCACTGAGCTAAATCCCCGGCATCATCATCATCATCATCATCACTATTAATTATTATTATTTGAGGTACTAGGGATTGAACCTAGGCTGTCTATACTAAGCTACATTCCCAGCCCTTTTATTTATTATTTTGAGACAGGGTACCACTAAATTGTTAAATTGACCATGGTGGGCTTGAACTTGAGATCTTCCTGTATCAGCCTCCCAGAGTGCTGGGATTATAGGCACATGCCACTGTTCCTGGTGAACTAACCACATTTCAAGCACATAATAATCACATGCACTCAGTGGCTGATTTCCAGCAGCCTGAGCCCTTTAAATTCCTTCAAAAACTACATGTCTGCTGGGCGTAGTGCCATATGCCTGTAATCCCAACATGAGGTAGGCTGAGCCAGGAGGATCACCGTGAGTTCAAGGCCAGCCTGGGCTACATAGCGAGACCCTGTCTCAAAAAATCAAAACTGAAAAACAAAACAAAGGGCTGGGGATCTAGCTCAGTGGTTCCGCCACCTGCCTCGCAAGCTCAAGTGCCAGGACTCAAGTTCAATCCCCAGTACCAAAAAAACAAAACAAAACAAAACAAAACAAATCTATATGTCCAAGCTGGGTGTTGTGCATGCCTGTAATTCTAGCACTCTGGAGGCTGAGGCAAGAGGATCGAAAGTTTGAGTGCAAGACCCTATCACAAGAACAAAATATAAAGAAAGGGCTGGGCATGTCACTCAGCATGAAGGCACTGGGTTTGATCTCCAGTACCAAAACAAAACAAAAATAAAAACCACATGTCCAAAACACATAGATATTTCCAAAGACGTGCCACCTGACCTTGGCCTTGGAGAGCGTTGAGTGTCGCAGCAGAGGGAATAACATACACAGCACAAGAAAGCAAGACATGGCTGGAGATGTGTGCTTGTTTGGTCTGAGACCGTCTGGCATAGATGACTGCACAGATTCAATCCTGGCTCATCATGGTACAGGCTGGGTGACATTGGATAAGCCAGTCAATTTCTCTACACTTCAGGTTGCCCATTTTCCACATGAGGAGAATAATACAGTACTTTCTTCCGAATTACTATTAGAAACATCCTTCAGGCAGGCCTGGAGAGTGAGATGCTGTGAGAGTGCAATCCACAGTGGCCGTCCTTGAAGCCCTGTCCCCACCGGCAAACTTCAGGTGGGCTTGGTGCGGATTGAGGTGCCTGGATATGTCATGAGGGCTTGTGACGCTGCCACTCCATCCCTGGCTCTTTTTACACTCACCATCCAGTTCTCATTGGTCTGAGAGGCCTCTCTGGGGATAAGAGAAGAAAAGTTGTGAGAGAATGTTCTGGAGGAAAGCATGGCAGAGGGTCTTTAAGGGCGATGTTGGGCAGGCCCAGGGCATGGGTGTGGTGAGGAGCAAGTACTGAGCTCTGAGCTCTCCTCTAAGGTTGGGACTTCTGGGATGGCAGGTCTCTCAGAAGACCTCCTTTGCAGGTGTTTGGCCTTGGTTCTGTGGCCCAGATGGTTCTAGGAAATAACAAATTTGGAAGCTACCTTGCTGTCAACTTGGGTTTTGGCTTTGGAGTTACCATGGGAGTGCATGTGGCAGGCAACATCTCAGGTGAGTGAATCCAGTCCCCTCCTGACTGGGTGAGGCTGGGTATTTCCGGCAGGCTGTTTCCTGCCCACCTCCAGGCAGCCCCTTCTCTGACACAACCTTTTCAGGGAGGAGAAGGCCTCTGAGCCCTTTGCTTTTGCCTGTGTCTCCCCCAGATGCTTCATGGGCTCCCTTGACTCACCATTTTGACTAGGAAGGTCAGTGACGGCAAAGCTTTTAGAGCTTTCAATGATACAAGCAGCCCGCTGTGGCACATGTGGCGTAGGTTTGCCACCACTGACATAGGTCATCTTAGGCAAATTATTTCCCTTCTCTGTTCCTCACTTTCCTTAATGGTGAAATGGAGATGGTGGTCCTTGCTTTGTGGGGTGGCTGTAAAGGTTACATGGGAGGGCTCTTGTCCTAGAAAACACAGTCCATAACACTAGCCATTATTATTTATTATTGTTGCTGTATCATTCGTTCTGTTGCTTGTTTCTGCTCTTGCCACCCTGACACATCTCTCCCTCCCCTCCACAGGGGCTCACATGAATGCAGCTGTGACCTTCACCAGCTGTGCACTAGGCCGCATGCCCTGGAAAAAGTTTCCTGTGTATGTGTTGGGTCAGTTCCTGGGCTCCTTCATGGCTGCTGCCACCATCTACTGCCTCTTCCTCAGTGAGTGCTCCACCTTGGCTGTCTGCCTCTGGATTTAGCCTTCTCTGAAATCTGGGCAGATCAGATGTTGGTGCAGCAGTCTGTAAAACTGTCTAGGAGAAAGAGCCTCGAGGGTGCTCCCCAAAGCTCCACCGCACCGCCCCACGCCTGGAATCAGCCAGCGGGGCTAAGCTCAGTCTGTCTCCACAGAGGCCATTCTCCACTTCTCGGGCGGACAGCTGACGGTGGTGGGTTCCACAGCCACTGCTGGCATTTTTGCCACCTACCTTCCCAGCTACATGACACTATGGTGGGGCTTCCTGAATGAGGTCAGTGGCCCCTCTCCCCAAACCCACCCCCTCCTTCATGATAAAGAGGATAAGAATGCTGGGAGGGGACCTTACTAAGATATGCCTCTGCCTGTGTGTTGGGATTTGGGGCACGACTGGGGCACCGTGGCTTTCTTAGGACCCTGGTGGGCTGCTATAGTGTCTGCTTCCCAGGTGTTACTGACAGGGATGCTTCAGCTGTGTCTCTTCGCCATAACGGACAAGGAGAACAACCCAGCACTGCAAGGGACCCAGGCCCTGGTGATTGGTGTCCTCATAGTCATCATTGGGGTGTCCTTGGGCATGAACACAGGATATGCTATCAACCCATCTCGGGACCTGCCTCCTCGCTTCTTCACCTTCATTGCTGGCTGGGGCAAAGAGGTGTTCAGGTACTGCCACTGCCAGGTCCCATTTCTTCAAGTTTTCTGTGGGTCCCCTGTATACTGAGGGTAAGGTCCCATCAGAAGCAGTACAGGGGAGTCCTGTTCCCTGATGTTTCCTGAAACTGGCACAGGCACTGGTTTTGCTCCAGGATTAACTCAAACCTATGTCCCTGAATCAGGATGAGGCTAGCTGGGACCCTGGGTGAGAGCATTCTCTGGGGTAGGATGGGGTGGCCTCTCTGTTCACCTTATCTTGGCCTGAAGAGCATATGAGTGCCATCCCCCTCATCAGGTCTCTTCCTCTTGCTTGCATTTCCAGGGACAACTGGTGGTGGGTGCCAGTTGTGGCACCACTCCTGGGTGCCTACCTAGGTGGGATCATCTACCTGCTCTTCATTGGCATCCCACAAAACCCCCAGAGACTGGAGAACTCCATGGTGTGTGAAGATCACAGGATAACTGTATTGCCCAAGAGCAGCCCATGCATGGCCTCTTCCCTCACTCCTGTCTCTGGAACCCCAGCCAACATAGCTGTAGCCCAGCCTGTCCCTCCCTTAAGTGGCTCCATGCCCCTAGAGCACTTCTAAGAAGAGTTTGTGACCCCAACCCTACCCCAGTAAGAAAGCCTTGTTCCACAGAAGTACTCTCATGCCCTGGGGACTTCCTGTGGTTGGACTTCCTTCCTGGGTTCTTCTGGGAGCTTCTGGGTTATGCCTTAGCTCCAGGCTGGAACATAGGGTTGAGAGACCTCAATTCTTTCCATCCCTGGGAGCTGGGGAGGCTGGGTAAGTGACCTATGGTCTGAGGGCAAATTGAAAGGATGCCAGACACAGAATGGTGGACTTCCAGGAATAGGGGAGGAAGGTGATGTTTTGGGGAAGGATCAGAGCAAGGTAGGTGGTATGGGGCCAACTCTAGGGATGCCCTGAGAGTGCCCTGGGATAAGACTTTGAATGGTCTTGGGTTCTCCCTTCCTCCAATCTTGGCCAGTTGTTATATAAGGCAAGGCCCACGGGTGTAGATCAGAATTTATGAAGCTTTTTTTGTTGTTGTTTTGTTTTTTTGTTAGAGCTCTCCTCAGCAGCTTTTTAGATATATATTTTTTTACTTCACATTTTAATACCGTAGGTATTCCACATATGTTTCTGTGCTGTTTCTGTGCTTTGTACATACATAAAAAAATTAAGATTTTTTTTGGTCCTTGTTCCAAGAATCAGTTTTTACTTGGGGATGTTTGGCACAGGTCAAAAGTGGGCAAGGGGTTGGGCTCTTCCTCCTTCCTGACCCCAGAGTTCTCTCATGTGAAGGAATGCCAGAGTTGAGAAGGAGGATACAAATGGAAAAATCCTTCAAACAGGTGCAGAGACCAGAAAATGTCTCACAGAGCTCAAGGGAAATAGGCACAGAAGTTGGGTGGCAGAGGGGATCCAGGATCCGCTGATGGTGGGGCCAAGCAGAACCATCCTGCTTTCTGGAACTCAGAAAGTAGCATCACCATGGTTGCTGTTGTCACTCATACATTTAGCTGTTCCACAGTTACTGAGCAGCCCTGCCTGGGCACTGGGGATGCCTAATGGATGAGTGTTTGAGGAGTGCAATCTACTGGGGCACAGGTGATTAGGAAGGAGATAAAACGGGGAGGGGGACACTTGGAGGCTGTGGGACTCAGAGGGCGTTCACAGCCAGCTGAGGTTAGGAATGGCTTTCCGGAGGAGATGTGACTGAGTGGGGGTGAGGGATGCCCTTCCTGGGCTAAGAGCTGTACTTTTACAGTTTTCGAGGATGGGGCAGAGGAAGCGTCTTTCTTTTTTTTTTTTTTGGTACCAGAGATCGAACTCGGGACCTGGCACTTCCAAAGCAGGTGGTGGAACCACTGAGCTAAATCCCTGGCTCAGGAAGTGTCTTTCTTAAATTGCTCTCTCATTCCTGGGACAAACACCAGATACCCACAACTTAAAGGAGGAGAGGTTTATTTGGGCTCATGGTTGCCTGGCTCCAAGGCAGAACAGCATGGTAGAATTGTCTGGGTGGAGGAAAGCTACTCACTTCCTGGGGCTGGGAAGCAGAGAGAGAAGGGAGGAGCCAGGGAGGGAAATATACCCTTCCAGGTAATTCCCTCAGTGACCTGCCTCTTCTGGCCATGAATCTACTGATTGAGTACAGCAGCCCCATGATCCAGTCAAATTTTAAACCCTCACTTCTGAACCTATGAGGCTTTTGGGGGAGCATTCCAGGCTTCCTTTTGGAGGTGGTGGACATGGTAAGGTGCTTTAGAAAGGCCCTTGAGCTGCATTGTGCAGGCTGGGAAACGGGGCACATGGGCCTAAAGAAAAAATGATGAGAGCCAATAATCCAGGAGCAGCAGCAGGGTGCTTAATAGGGCAGCACAGTGGGTGTGGGAGGAGATACAACTGGCAGGGCAAGGCTTGGTTTGGATGAGGGAGTGGGTGAGGGAGGAGTCAGAGATGAATTCATTTCTGGCTTGGGTGTGGGCAGAACACCAGTGTAGAACTGGTTTGGAGAGGAAGATGAGAAGCTATATCACAGACATGTTGAGTTTGAGTTGTCACTGGACTTGTGGGGGTGGGGGGTGAGAAGTGTGTGGCTTTGGGCAAGCTTCTCAGACTCCCTGGGCCTCGGTTGTTTGTAAAGTGGGGATAAGAGTGCCACCTACTCTTTGTGTTATGGTGAGTGTTAAATGTGCTCAGCATGTCAAGTGGGAGAATAGTGCCTGGCAAGAAAATATTCAATAAACACTTGCAGTTAAGCTGTTATATCTCCTGGAGTTCAGAAGAGAACTGAAGGAAAAGATTTGGGAAGTCTGGATATATCATACAATTATGTCTGATAATATATAAATGTGATATATATTTATATGTATGTACTTATATTTAAAAACATAAAAAGAAATACTTGTATGAGAATGGGGAGAGAAAGACTGATGGGTAAGGAGCCTGCTAAGGTCACCCAGAATCCAGGGAAGTGAGGAGAGGCTTGAGTAAGACTGGTGTCCCTGCTGGGAGGAACTGAGCCAGGGGAACAGAGCTAGGAGTGACAAGGGCCGGACTGACAGCTGGAAGTCTCTAGCTAGCTGTACATGGCCTCCCTTTTTGACCTTGGGCAAGCCCCTTCCCTTCTCTTAGTCTTGGTGGCCCTGTGAGCAGAGGAGGTGGCCTTTTTCCTTCCTGGCATTCCCAAAGAGGATGACCCCAAGGCCTCAGTCACACCTCAGAGAGGCACATACAGGCCCCAGGTTCTGCCCCTCACTTAACACTTCAGCCTCTGGCATCCTTGGGTCCCTGGCAGGTGGCCCTGGAGGCAGGGCAGCCAATGGGGTTCATCTAGAACCCTTGCCTACTGTCCCCCACTCTGCCACTGACTACATCTTGCAGGGTCTGGTCTCAGTGTCAGGCTCAGATGGCCCTAGTCACAGAGCAACATTTCCATTCTCGCAGCAAACTTTGGTTGAGAGCCTACAGTGTGGCAGACACCATGCTAGCATTGAAGATATAGGCACAAGGAAGACAAAAAAAGGTCCTTGTTCTTATGGAGCTCAAGTTTTGTGCAAAATATATGGTCTCATAAAGGAAACCAGGAAGGGAGGCTAGAACGCGTGGGGAGGTGTGAAGAGCAGAAGGCCTCGCTGAGAAAGTGGCATTAAGGAAAGACCTGGAGGGAGGGTGAGGGAGTGAGCATGTGGACACGGGGGAAGAGCCTGCCAGGCTGAAGGAAGAGCTGGTGTACAGCCCATGAGGTGGGAGCCTGGAGAGGTGCTGTGCTGGAATGGAAAGAAGGGGGGGTGGAGGAAGACAGGAGAAATAAGGGGGTGGGTGGACTGAAGCCAGGCCCAGGGTGGAAGTGAGGACAAGGACTGGGGCAGAAGTGAGGGAGGTCTCTGGGAGGGGAAAGGCAGGTCCTAGTGTGGGAAGGAAGGAGGGAAGGAAGGAAGGAAGGAAGCAGCCAGGATGGGTGGGGTGGATGTCATAGCACCTTGTGGGTCCTTGTTCTTGGCTTTGCACTCTCTTGTGTGCTTGCTCTCTCTCTTTCCACACACACACACACACACACACACGCTCATGGGCGTGTGTATGTTTGTTGTTAGCACCCTCTCATGCGATCCTCACATCATCATATGCATGTTACAAGGAAACTGAGGCTAGGGAGATGTGCCCCGAAAGGGGTAGAATAAGGACTCTTGCCCTTGTTGATATGCCTCTGAAATCTGTGCACACAAGGATGTCATCTTGGCTAGTTACTGCTTTTAAATTGTGGAATAGATTCTGTAAACAAGAGTGGGTGCTTCACCTAGAGGGAACAGCAGGAGCCAAGGCACAGGGTTGAGGCACAGGCTGCTCAGCAGGCAGGAGGCCAGGCAGGGAGTGTCTGGAGGCCACTCCTCAGGTCCTTTGCCTTGTTCTCAGCCCCGTGTCCTCTAGAGGAAGCAGTACCAGGGCCTAGTCTTGTACCTCTTCTCTTTCTCCACCCTCCTGACATGATCTCATCAGCCTTTAAATACCATTACAAGCCACAGCTCCCCAAATTAAATCTCTAGCCCAGTCTTGTCTCCAAACTTCAGACTCCCATATACAACCGCCCACTGGACAGATTTTCTCCCCCAACCCTGCTCCTCCCACACTCTTTTCTATCTCAGTAAATGGCAAATTCAGTCTTCCAACTTCTCAGGCCAAAAACTTTGAAATCATCCCTGACTCCTCTCTCTTTCACATCCTACATCCCAGCTGTCAGCAAATCCTTTAGGTATTATCTACCAATGTGTCCAGAATCCAGCGACTTTTTTTGTACCGGGGATCGAACTCAGGACCTTGTGCTTGGAAGGCAGTGTGGTGGAACCAGAGCTAAATCCCCAGCCTCGAGGCACTTTTTAAAAAAATTGGGTGGGAAATGAACTCAGAGCCTCCTGCATTTGAGGAAAGAACTCTAGCACTGAGCCACATCCCCCTAGAATCCAGACGCTTGTCGTCACTCCTCATTGTCACCCTGGTTCAAGCCACTGTTGTCTCAGAGAATAGCAGTGGTCTGGCTGGTCTCCCAGTCTCTTCCCCCATTTGTCCCTGCAGGCTAATCTCAATGCAGAAGCCAGGATGATTCTTTTAACAGTGAGTTAGATCTTACCATTCACTCCTCTGCCCTAAATCTTCCAGGGCCTACAAGGTTTCTATTTCCTCTTCAACACCTGCTACTCTCCCTCCCCTATAGCCTGATAGCCTCACTGTTCCTTCATGGTGCATGGCATGTTCCACAGTAAAGCCTTTGCAATGGCTGTTCCCTCTGCTTGGAATAGTCTTTTTTATGAGTCTTCTGTTAGATAGCTGTATGTCTTGTGTTTCCCCCTGTATCTGTACCCTGTATATCAACAACAGAGAGAGAACAGTATTAGAAATAAATGAAAATGTAATAATTTAAAAAATACTGGTTATAGGGCTGGGGATTTACTCAGTGGTGCCGCCGCCTGCCTCGCAAGCACAAGGTCTTGAGTTTGATCCCCAGTACCAAAAAAGCACAAAATACTGGTTATAAATGCTACTATAAAGCTTTTAAGTGAGCTTTCCTGCCTGTACAGGTTCCCTAGCTGGTTTGGGGATACATACTGCACCCTAGTGGCCATTATAGAAAAAGCCCTGTCTTCTGAGAAGCTCCTGCTGCCTTCTGCTTGGATATAGTGAAGCTTCCCTCTCACTTAACCTCTTACTGGGCCGCCCTGCCCCAACAACTCCAAATGAGCGGTACAAACTGTTCCTGCTCTGCCCGTGGAGAGGACATAGACAGACCTAGTAGGAATTTCACATCCCTAGTGGTTCACTGAGTGACCTTGGACAGGCACCCAACTTCTCTGTTTCCCAGCCAGGTGTAGTGCACATGCCTGTAATCTCAGAAGTCTGAGAGGCCAAGACAAGAGGATTACAAGTTCCAGCCCAACCTGGGCACAACTTAGTGACTTAGTGAGGCCTTGTCTCCAAGGAATAAAAGAGGTGAGGACCATGCTCAGAATACATTAGGTGCTCCTGGGTGTGGTGGTACATGCCTGTAATCCCAGCACTCAGGAGGCTGAGGCAGGAGGACTGCAGTGAGTTTGAGGCCAGCCTGGGCTACATAGTGAGTTCAAGGCCAGCCTGAACTATATTAAAAAACCTTGTCTAAAAATAAATAAATAAATAAATATATATAATATATATAAGGTACCCTATATATAGAATGAATATATATATATATATATATATATATATATATATATATATATGGTGCCCAATAGCTGTTATTTTCTGTTGGAAAGTGAGGGTAGGTGAGGATTTCTGACTCCTTTACTCATGCGTCTGGTGAAGTGAGTGAGTAGAACACAGGGGAGGTGATTGCAAGGCTCCACCCTTGCTAGGGCAGCTTGACTACAGCTCTATTCCTTCCCTACCCCCAAGAGCTGAACGGCACAGGCTCGAGGTGTGGCTGTGCTGAAGCCTTGTGGCCGGTGAGACGCTTCTGGCCTCTCTGACCTCCCTCACTGGTCATCCACTGCTCTTATGGTGGCTCAGGGGAACACACGGGCAGTAGCCACTACCCCACCTGACAGATGTGGAAACCAATGCCATTATACCAGGGAAGAGTGAGCTGTTCAGCTGGGTTTTTCACACCCAGGAAGAGTGAGTTCACTATTCTTGGGGCCAGGGGAAGTTTGGGTCACTAGGCAGAACTCTCAAGTTAGCTTTGTTTGAGGAAGCCAGAGAGGGGATCACTCACTTTTTCCTGAGGACTTAGCCCCTCCTAGTGCAGGACACTTCTAGGTAGGGAAATAGGTATGGAGTCCAGTCCTGATGGCACATACTGTGACCCCACGGAACAGGTTACATAGTGAATTCAACACTAGCCTAACTACATAGCAAGACCCTGTCTCAAAAAAAACCCATGTGTGTGGGGGGGGTGGGGGGACTTTGGGAGATGGTACAGGAATCTGGGGTTCAGGAGGCAGAACTTCCCCTTGAGTGTAGGTATGGGTGACCAATGAGGAAGGCAGGACTGTGAAGGTGAAGGAACTGGCCTGACCTGGGAGTGCCTCCACGTTAGAAAAGGAGACACGCTGGGCCGGGGATTTAGCTCAGTGGTTTCGCTGCCTGCTGCGCAAGCGCAAGGACCCGAGTTCAATCCCCGGTACCAAAAAAAAAAAAAAAAGACACGCTGCTGGGTTCTCCTTAGGAAACAAGGTCTCCAAGTTTTCAGGCATGAAGCAAGGCCAGCAGCACAGGGTGGATCCCCCAACCTAAATCTACAGAACCTGCAGACTGAGACTTGACAACTCTTCCAAGCCAACATTCCCTCTTGCCTGCTCTGGCTTGTTCTCAGGCCTAGCCAGGACAGGATCCAGGGGTCTCACACAGGTCCTGCAGGTATGCCCGCTTTCATCTCCAGTCCTGCACTGCCCCACTCCCTGCATGCCTGGCTGGTGCCACTGCTGAGAGGAGCACTCCTGCTAAAGAATGCTTCTGCTGAGCTTCTGGGGAGAAGCACAGGATGGTCCAGATACAGTACTTCTAGAGTACTAGAGCTCTAGAGCTCAGACAAGCCCGAGGGAATTCTAGGGATACAAATTTGGTCTCTGGAAAGCTCTGGCCCATAAAGGGTCTGCTAAGGACGCAGGGCTGGAACCACACCTGATTCTCAAGGAGCAAATGTGTGATTCTGGTGCCTGTAGGTTCCCTCCATGTATGGCGGTGGAGGTGGAATCTTTTCCTTTTATCCACATGCTTGTAAAAATTGTATCCAATATGGATGCTTAGTGAGGAATTCATCAGACCTATGAGAAGTCACTCTTCCTTTGCTGAGGTGGTCTGGCATCTCCTTGGGGACCAGAGCAAGGCTGGCTTCCTTGCTGACGCCTAGCATCCTTTCCTACTTCCCAGATCTGAACCTCTGCCCTCTTTGCAGGGCCAATTTCCTGCCACCACTGTCACCTTCCTCCAGATAATGCCTGCAGCCTCTTGGTTGGGATTCTTGCCTCCAGGTGGCTCTCCAACCCCTTCCACACACTTGTGCCTGAGGGGCTGTGCTAGAACAGGGTGGAGGTACTAAAGTCCATGGCCAAATCAAAGCTGTTTTTGTACAACTAATGAGCTAAGAATGGTTTTTATATTTTTAAATGGCTGGAAAAAAGTCAAAAGAATATTTTGTAACACGTAAGAATTACATGAGAGTCTTATTCCAGTGTCCTTAAGCAAGGTGTGATTTCCTATTATCCAGTGTTAGAACTTGCTAATTGGAACAGAAACTGGCTTCTTTTAGAAAACACTTGCTGAGTCCTGATCTAGATGATAAATCTGCCCTGCCACTCTGCTTAGGGGTCATCAGGGGTTCCCTATTGCTCTGAGTGACCCTGTCCACCTCTCCAGCCTCGTCACCTGTCTCTCCACTGGTCCCCCCACTCGAGACAATCTTTCCTCAAGCCCCAGCATACCTGCCCCCACAGCCCCATCACAAGGCTGGCCCAGGGCAGGATGCAGACATTCGCCAGGAGGGGCCTGGTCAGCACCCCACCCCTCTACTTAGCTAGTGCTGCAGAGAGAAGACGCTTATGTATTTTCCAGATACCAAGTATGATTTTCATGAATTCTGAACACCTCTGATGGATCAGGCGCTTCACATATTCATTTCTCACAACAACCTTGATAATTTAGATACAATCGCCACTCCATCAAGTGGCAAGTTATGTGGCAGAGCTAGAATGTGCAGTCAGATCTGCTGATTCTGATGCCCCACATGTAGTTTATCCATTCAACCCATGGCTTGAAAGATGTAACACATGCTCCTCGACCTTCAACCTTCTGTTGTGTGGGGCCACAGACCCTGCCCTAAATGGCCCACAGGGACCATCTGTCACTTATATCCAGCTACTTGTTCCTGCTCCTGTACCTCACATCTTTCTAACCAGATTGTCTGGGTGAAGACCAAAGGCAGCTCTTCCTACAAAAATCAAATGCTTGGTTTTGTGACTCCATGTCTCAAATCTTCTGCTGCTGCTCTAGGGCACAAGGCTTGTTTTGAGGTAGAAGGAAACTGCTGGAAGTCTCCATGCTGGTGGGGTGCCAATGTGCAGGGCCACTGTTGGTGAACCTGGCTTAAAGGAGCCTTAAGAATGCTTCTGGTGGGCTTTTGGAGAGAAGCTCTGGTCTAAACACTTCTAGCAGTTCAGAGTGCACAGACAGTGACAGGTAATATGACTGGTGAGGGCCTAGGAAAAAGCAACACATAACAGTTGTCTATGTGAGACTCTTTATCAACCAGAGAGGAGTTAGGGCTACACTGGTCATTTCACAGAGGCCACAGTGTGAACCTGGCAGAAAAGCTTGATCTACATCCTCTACCATTATAGGAGGTTGCTAAACTGTCACTGGACAGGCTCAGTCATGTGGTACGACAGGTGCCAGGGACTTGAGAAAATGGAATTCTGTAAAGCAACCTAACCCTCTCCTATGTCTAGAACTGACAGTATTGGGAAAAGTAAAAAGAAGTTCAGGTAGGCAGGCATATGGGAGCTTTTGGCAAAAGACAGACAAGATGGCTGGGTTTAAAGGACATGTGTGATTCTATGTATGGTGTTTCAATTCAGTGTTCATTATCTTAGACTGAGAGATTTGCTTGTGTCAGTGGAGACTATGACTATGACTAAGTGACACAAAGTCAGTTTTGGGCTAAAATTCTGGTATGTCCAAATAAAGTTCAATATTCCCCCAAGAGTCAAAGCAATCACAGTGATAGTATGAGAAGCCTGGGAACCTCGTGATCATACAGAGATACGGCCACAGTGGAACACTTTATATAGACCGGAATAAACAAGGGGATTTCTGACACACTCATGCTTTGGATGTATCAGTACAAGACAGCTATGATTCTGCTAGGCAGTGAGGAACAAGCATGATTTATCTGCTGGCAAATGAGTCTCCACTACACCTAACCATTCTTTTATCTAAGTGCATCTTGATCTCAGTCCTGGACATCAAAGTAGTCAATTATTGGCTCCTTAGTTATCTTCTGTAAATTACTGCTCCCAGGATTCCTGAAAAGCAAACAAAGAATGATCAATCTTTTCTTCTTTGGGGAAAATACAGATTTTCAGAATGTTAAGAATCAGCTGATTAAACATTTGTGAAGCTTTGGTAACACAGTGGGGCAAGCTGGGCGTGGTGGTGCTGTCTGTAATCCTAGCACTTGGGAGGCTGAGGGAAGAGGAACCTTGCAAGTTCAAGCCAGTCTGAGCTACATAGGGAGACCCTGTCTTATAACAAAATAAAACAGGGCCGGGGACTTAGCTTAGTGGTTCCACCACCTGCCTTGCATGCATAAGGTCCCAAGTTTGATCCCCAATACCAAAAAAAAAGGAATTATCAAAACAAAACAAAGGGTCAGGGAGAGAGAGCATGGCATAAACAAGCTAATGACTCCACAGGCTATGTCTAAGTGGAACAGTAACACAGCCATGGGAGTGTCTTGAAACATCCCTTACATTTCCAGAACCACTGCCTGTGTGGGTATGCAGAATGCAGGCTGTCTGCTCCTAGGGTAGAGAGGAGCTGGTCCTGTACTGCTACCTGACACTCAGTGTTCTTGGCTGATGCTGTCCTGTCTGGTTCTACAGGGCCAACAATGGCTCTGACCCTCATGGTGACCTTGTAAACTGCCCTAATCACTCTTCTAGAGGTTTGGGTAGGAGACCCTGAAGAGGTCCTGCTAGGACTTCTGCGTGGAAAGCCAGAAAGGTGCAGGGACCCCTAACTTTCAGCCACACTGCCTTGGTCACAGTAGAGCAGCTGGGCTCCTCTCCTGCTAAGGAAGAAGGGTGGGAGGGAGGGAAGGTGCGCCTCCTTTGTTTCTGTTTGAGAAAACACCTGGCAGACTTGTTGCATGTCAGCTTGCTTTTCTTTTCTCTTTAAATCATTAATTTGTTTTTGGTGTAAAAATCTTTCAAACTATACAGAAGCAGACAGAACAAAACATGAAAGTACCCCCCATACCCTCTGCTGCCAACACTTGCCCCTAACACCACATCCATCTTCAGAGTAACTACTGTTAACTATGAGATGTTTCAGTTCTAGATCATTTGGTGTGACAGACTGAATCCACTCCCCAGTGTCACCATTTACATGTGGAAATTATGTCCAGTGACTGCTTTTTTGGAGTGGAATCAGCATTATAAACATCAAAGTTAAGGATCCCGAGGCTTGAACAAATGTTACCTAGTACCCTAACCAAACTTTACATTTTTTTTTTTGGTACCGGGGATCGAACTCAGGACCTTGCATTTGCAAGGTAGGTGCAGTCCCACTAAACCTTACATATTCAAACACAGTACCTAAAGCTGGCCCCAAAAATGCCACCAGTGGCTGGTGTAGCCCAGGACAGTTCATCCCTGCTGCCTCCTCTAACCAGACATGTACCTATGGAAAGGAGCTAAAGAATCCTTACTTGTCTGCCTGATGTCTGTGATGAGGAATTGGTGGTGGAGGCCGTGTCTGCACTTCCCTTTCAAGCACAGCTGTCAGCGTGGTGGGAGGACAAATGGACTTCCCTCTGACAAGAGCCAAAACACAAAGTACTGAAAAGTGAGAATCATTTGTAGAGATAGGCAGACAGCTAGAAAGTCAGTCCATGCCTTTGGCACTATGGTGCTGCTGAGCACTCTTGATACAACCTGCCACCTCTCAAGCATGGCCACTTGCGTTCAAGCCCCTCTTCCTTCCTCCCACCCCTGCTGGGCCTGTTGCCTACTTCCTTACATGTCACACTTCACTGTTCTTCATTGGGAAGTTCTTCCTAATCCCTCAGGTTCTGATGATGATTCTAGGTACTCCCTGTCCCCTTCAGGCTCACACTACTGCCTCAGTTTCTTCTGATGGGAAAATACAGTTCACAAGGCATGCCAGTATTCTTTCAGTATCCATTGGGCTAGGAGGACAAAACCAGGGAGACAGAAAACAAGAGACAGAGGGGAAAAGGGGAAAAGGGACAGGTGTGATGAACAGGCATCCCACTCTCTGGCCCCAGGTCTGTTCCCTCTACTGCTAAATGCTGTCTCCAGCACCTGCCATGGACCAGGGCAGATGGGAAGCCCGTGCACTTCGGGTGATTTGCCCTATGTAATGAGGCATGGGCTTCGCTCTCTGGCCAGGCCTTTAGATCATCGTGAAGTGGCTGTCCAAGAGAGGCAGATTTCCTCTCTACTCTGCTGAGAGAGAAGTAAGGAAAGCAAATACTGATGGATCCTTCTGAAGAACGCCTCCTGTGACAGCAAGATCAACCCACCTCACTGCAGTGACCACAACATTGCGCTTTGGTTCACTGTCATAGCTCACACTCTCCAGGCCATAAACTTGGGCCAGGTCATGGATGATTCGGCGATGGTCTCTGTTCATGGGAGGGAAGCAGTGGCTTTTCTTACTGTTCTTTCCCTGTATCGAAGGAAACAGTAACTTCAAACAGAGAACACTTACAGTTGTCCTTCCTACCACAAGAACAACTTGGTCAGTAAGAGGTGAGTGGATTTTAGAGCTTCACAGTGTATAGCATTTCACTAACTGCCACACAGGTCTGGAGGAGTTTGGGAGGATGGGAGCTGTTGTGAGGAAATGGGCAGAGTTAGGGACAAAGAGTAAGTGAACTGAGACTTTGGTAGACAGTAATGTTTCCTCCTGAGGCCCTGTAAATGGGGAGTGACAATCCCAAGGAAGGACTAAATAAAGTGAAGTCTTAAAAAGCAAAAAATCATACTTCTATAAAAGTTTGGTCCACACTAAAAATGCTAAGTATGCAGACACAGACACACAAGTTGAAAAATACATTTATTCAGGCTTCCTCATTGGGAGGGGAACAGTGCATTCCATTTTCTCCTTCATGTAAGTCTCCTATTGGGTATAGTAACATAAGAGGGGAAGGGAAGAAAATGAGAAGAGGGGAGGGAAGTGGTAGAAAAGAACACCACCATCATTAGCTATGGAGCTAAAGGAGCCATCTTGCCTCCACTCCCAATATTGTCTGCTTCTGACCAAAGGAAAGACTTTTCGCTTAAAGCTACCTCTGGGACACCCCTGTAACCTCCAGGACAGGGGCCTTACTCTCTTTGAGAAGTCTATTCCCCACTGCTCTTTAGCACTAGTCATACAACTTTTATCTTTCCCTAATGGTTTGGGTAATAAAGAAAGAGTGTGTTCTCCTATCATATGCAATTCTTCTGAGTATTCCACTCAGTAATTTGTCTATCGAGCCCTTCTCATCGAGAGTTGTTTTTGCCTATTCTTAGGCACTGAGCTAGGATTTTTATTTACATTTAATGACTGCAGATACCTTTTCTGCAATGACTGAACCAGGACAGGCTTCCATAAATGTTATAATGGTTGAGCTTTTAGGCTTTCCTTAAGGAAGTTGTGATTGCTTCTTACAACTACTCTAGGCTGAAAGTGTTTCCGGGACTTGGTTTTTTATAAAGGTAGCTTTAGAGAAAACAGTTCAACCTTATTCACAGCCTCCACGAGGGTTTCCATTTCCTTCTCAACGTCACTGACAAACTTTAAGTCCTTTCTGAAATGAGAAACCATCACAGTTAATTCTTCTGATTCCTGCCCATCTAGGAAGCCCTTCCACCCATGTCTGCCTATAAAGTGCAGACAATAGACAATGTTGGCAGAAAAACTGCAGAGGTCAGGAAGTCAGATAACAGAATGTCATGAAACAATAAAAAAAAAAGAGAGAAAGAGAGAACAAATACAAGAAGAGAAGGAAGGAAAAACAACGACCAGAAGGTCAGAGAACAGGAGAAAAATAAAAGGTGCTACTGCCTCCAGTGAGGACAAGACTTGGTTAGAGAGGTGCGATGTGGCCTAGAGACCCTTCACCTCAGTCTATTCCAGCTCTTGGTAGGCTGGAATGCAACCACCCTGGCCACCCCCTCCATTCAAAGTTCAGTTCCTCAAGGGGAGTTTTGAGGAAACTAAGGACGGATTATTAAATATCACATGATCTCTCTGTCTCTTTTTTTTCTTTGAGACAGGGTCTCACTATGTAATCCAGTCTGGCCTTGAACTTGTGGCGATCCTCCTGCCTCAGCTTCCGAAGTGCTGGGATTACAAGCATGCACCACCATGCCCAGCTCTAAATATTGCATAATCTCATACAACAGACAAAATACATTTTGCTTGGCTTAATCCCAGAAGAAGCACATATTGGTTACTACATCTTAAAATACTAGCCTCTGTCATAAGCCACAATTAAGAAAGTAGGCAACAAGTTACATACCTGGCATCATCTTTCAAACTGTCACTGAATTTTGACCCAGCTGAACGTACATTGAAAGGATCAGAATCATCACTGATATCAAATGCCTCTGCCAACCTCCTGAAAGTAAGAGAAGTATGCAAATGCAAGGGAAGGAGGAGGAGGGAATATCTCTTATACAGCAGCCCTCCCTTATTTGCAGGAGATATATTCTAAGACCCCCAGTGGGTGTCTGAAACCATGGACAGTTTTTTCCAATACATACATACCTATGATAAAAGTTCAACATAAATTAGGTACAGCAAAAGGTTAACATTAATAACTTACCATAAATTTTAGTAATCTCAGCATATGATTTTTCTCCTTGAGTTGAGAACTTTCATTTTTCTTACTTATAGAAAGCACTTTATGGCTTCTCTTTGGCATATCCAAATTGCTGGCATCACTACTCTTGCACAATGGAGCCATTATTAAGTAGAATAAGGGTTACTCAAACACAGTCACTATGATCCTGCAATAGTTGATTTGATACTGAGATGGCTAGCAAGTGACTAACAGGTGAGTAGTATATTTAATGTGGACAAAGGAGTGATTCATGTCCTGTGAGGGATGGAGTGCTTTGATCACGATACTCAGAAAAGTGTACAATTTAAAATTTGTGAACATTTTATTTGTGGAATTTTCCACTCAATATTTTCAGACCACAGTAGAGTGAAGGCAACAGAAACTGTGGAAAGCAAAACTTCGGGTAAGGTGGGAACTACTGTACTAACACAAATAGACTGAGTCCTAAATTCCTTATACTCTAATGATCTCATTTCAGCAAACCACTTTACTAAAGAAAGAATAACAACAATTTGGGACAAGATGTGGTACAGTTTTCATAGAAGAAAATAAACAAAATAGATTTATATGGATCTAAGCAAGATGAATTCTGGAGACACGGATTATTCGGGGATATGTGAGATCATTGTGAATGGTCAGTGGGGATGAGCTTTTCTGAGGCTTAATTTAAGAAAAAGGAAAAGGCTGGGCATGGTGGCACATGCCTGTAATCCCAGCACTATGGAAGCTGAGGGAGGAAGATTGCTATGAGTTCAAGGCCAGCCTGAACAACATAGTGAGACACTGTTTCAATCCCCCACCCACCCTCCAAAAAGGGCTGGGCATGGTGGCACATGCCTATAACCCCAGCACTTGAGGTGCAGAGGCAGGGGAATGTAAATTGAACCCAGACTGGGCTACACAGTGAGTGCAAGGCTGGGCGGAATACATAGTAAGAACTTGTCTCAAAAAACCTCAAAACTAAAAAAATAAAAAAATAAAAAAACAACAACGCCCCCCACCCCAAAACTGGGCCAGGGATTTAAGCTCAGTGGTGCTCTGCCTGCCTCATAGGCCCAAGGTCCTAAGTTCAATTCCTAGTACTGAAAAAAAGAAAAAACAAAAAAACAAGCCAAATAAAAGAATAAGGTACATAAGCTAGGGATGCAGCTCAATGGTACAGTGTACAGGTAGCATGGACAAGGCCCTGGGTTTGATACCTAGTACTAAAAACAAAACAAAACAAAGCAAAAACAAAACAAAACTGGAAAATAAAGGGGAAAAGAATTCTATTACAAACATTTAGCACCACATTTTTGTTGTTATTTGTTTTGTTGTTTTTGTTTTTTGGAGACAGGGTCTTGTTATGTTATCTAGGCTGGTTTTAAACCTGTGGGCTTAAGTAATCCTCCTGCCTCAGCCCCCTGAGTAGTTGGGATTAAAGACACATGCCATGGTGCCTGGCTTAGATTTTCTAATTTTTCAAGAGTCTTATCTTTAAATTTTCAATAAAATTCTTAGAGTGAGATCTTTTGATGTTTTTTATTAGCTGGCCACCAATTCAAATTTAAATACCAATGAAAAGCTTATGGGCTGAATTTGGGCTACTAGTTTTTGCTTCTGTAGGAAAATATACATATATATAATTTTAGATGGACTTTTCTTTTTCAAATTTGCATTCTCTTTTCTCCCCTTAAGTCAGTGCATTTAAAAAAGAATTTTTATATAGTGAAGGTCATTATGTCATCAAACAGTGAGGAGAAAGTCAAAAGGCTTTCAAAAATAGCCAGTTCTAATCAATAACTAACATTTACTGGACACTTGCTATATGCCAGGCTTGTGCCAATCTGTAGCATCCTTAGTTTTAAGGTATCAATCTTCACAACTCACGGAAGTTGGTATTATTGTCACCATTTTCATGAATTTTTAAGAAAATTAAATCTTAAGAGAGCATATGCAACCTGCCCAGGGCTACACAATTACATAGTTTATGAAGTTAGGACTGAAATCCAGGCAATCTGACTTCGGAGCTCTGGACAGTTCTGACTACTGTACAATACTGTCTCTTTTTTTTTGTACTGGAGATCAAACTGGGGACCTTGCGCTTGCATGGCAGGCGCCGCCAGAACCACTGAGTTAAATCCCTGGCCCTTTACTACATTTCCTTTTTTTTTTTTGGTACCGGGGACCGAACTTGGGTCCTTGTGCTTGCCCAGCAGGCAGCGAAACCACTGAGCTAAATCCCTGGCCCTGCATTTCTTAATACCTAGGACTCATAGCACACATTTTGGAACTGGGAACACTATAACTGATGGTTCTAAAGGGCAGTGGGTTTGAACAGCACTCCCTAGAGAGTTGCCATTAGAGTCAAACCAAGGGAAATCTGGGCAGCACCACTGGGCATCCCAATACCTGCTACACAGTGACACTTAAAGAATTTCTGTTGCTGAAGGTGTAGCTCAGTGGTATAGTGCTTGGCTAGCATGTGCATGGTCCTCGGTTTGAACTCCAGCACCAAACACAAACAAAAAGTGCTGTCATAATTGCTTAAAGTCAAACTCCAAAGTAAAGCAAGGGTTTACATCCTCCTATACATCCATACGAATGGTTAAAATGAAAAAGACTGACAATCCCAAGCACTGGAAAAAAGGTGTAGTAGCAATGGGAATTACCAACCTGCTGGAAGAGTTTAAGTTATTATTATTATTATTTCTGTACTGGGGATTAAAACTAGGGACTTTGCACCGAGTTACATCCCTAGCCCTGACTTACATATTCTTTCTTTCTTTTCTTTTCCTTTTCTCTTTCCTTCCTTCCTTTCTTTTTCTTCCTTTCTTTCTTTCTTTCCTCCCTCCCTCCCTTCCTTTCTTTCCTTTCTCTCTCTCTCTCTCTCTCTCTCTCTGGTTTTATTGAGAGGTCTTGCTTTGTAGTTCAGGTTGGCCTTGAATTCACTAGTCCAGACTGGCCTTGAACTCATGGTGATCCTTCTGCCTCAGCTTCATGAGTGGTAAGTCATCAAGAAGTTGCCCAGGCTGGGCTTGAACTTGTGATCCTCCTGTCTCAGCCTTCCAAAGTGCTAGGATTACAGGCATGTTCCACCACGGGGCGGGGATTTAGCTCAGTGGCACTGCGCCTGCCTCGCAAGTGCAAGGTCATGAGTTCAATCCCCAGTACCAAAAAAAAAACCCCAAAAACAAACAGGCATGTTCCACCACACTGGGCGAGGAGTGTAATTTGGAACAACCAGTTTGGACACTGGTAGAATCTACCAAAGCTGAATGCAAGCATACCCCATTAATCAGCAATTCTACTCCTAAGGTTATACCCAGGAGAAATGAGTACATGTATAAAGAAGAACACAAAGATTCTTGGGGGCTAGGGATGTAGCTCAGGGGTAGAATGTTTGCCTGCAAATATGAGTTCATTCCCCAGCACTGAAAGAAAAAAAAAGTTCTTAACAGCATTATTTGTATAGCTCAATACTGACAGCAATACATATATCCATAAATGGTTAAATTATGATAAATTAATACAATAAAATATCATGCAAAAGTGAAAATAAAGTACTGGGACGTGTAACAAGGAGTGTCACAAATGCAATGAAAGAAAAAACCAGGGCCGAGGATTTAGCTCAGTGGTTCTGGTGCCTGCCTTGAAAGTGCAAGGTCCCGAGTTCGATCCCTGGTACCAAAAACAAAAAAAAACAAATAAAAAACAAACAGACAAAAGTAACACAAACTATATGATTTCATCATCTAATATATAAAGTTCAAAAACAGATGAAACTAATATAAAGTGTGAAAAGGCAGAAGAGACATTAGTATTTTGTGGAATACCCAAGAGGGTTCTGTTAATTTTCTCTTTCTTGAATTGGGTGCTGGTTACAACACTGTATTCACTTAATGATTCACTGACCTGTATGCTTATGCTGAACTTCAATTTTTTTTTTTTTTATACCGGGGATTGAACTTGGGACCGTACGCTTGTGAGGCTGGCGCTGGAACCACTGAGCTAAATCCCTGGCCCATGCACTTCAATTTTTAAAATGTAGGGCAGGGGATTTAGCTCAGTGGTTTTGCCGCCTGCTGCGCATGCGCAAGGACCCGAGTTCAATCCCCGGTACCAAAAAAACAAAACAAAACAAAACAACAAAACCAAGTGTTCAATTTTTAAAATGTATGTATGTATGTATATTTTTTGAGACAGGGTCTCACTGTGTAGTTCAGGTGGGCCTTGAACATCGATCCTCCTGCCTCAGCCTCCAGAGGGCTGGGATTACAAGTATGTGTCACCACGCCCGGCAATAAAATAAAAAATCATTAAATATTTTTTAAAGCCTCTTATCCATTGGAATCGGGATGTTGGTCAGTAAGTAAAGAAGTATGTTGTGATATGATGTCTACCTCACACCCAAAACCACATAGCTCATGTTTCTGAAATAAGTTGAAATTACCTGAGTGGTTTATCCTTAGACAATTCAATTCTTGCTGATCACATTTCTCTTGTTGCCCAACAGGAGTAAGAAGCCTCACTTACCTTTTCCTTTCCAAGGCTGAACACTCTTCATCACACTCCAGCCTTGATGAGTAAATAAAAAAATTGTCAAGGTATAGACTGTGGCTCTTGCCCACCAAGACAGCCTTAGGTGGACAATCTGACTCCTGCCAAAGGACTTCCCTCCAGGGCAGGAAGCAGCTCGGGCCACCTACTTCTGGGTTTCACTAGAGCCCACTGTCCTGGGAATCTCATTTTATGGAGCTTCATGCTCCCTAGGTACAACTCTGACAGCCCCAACTCCTGTTCCAGATACAGCTACCAATATGGCTCTCTGTTCTTCTGTGGGCTGGACTACTTACATCTAGGTCTCTCCTCTCTACCAACTGTCTCAAATAAGGCTTGGAAAATCTCTTCTGCTTTAGTTACATCCTGAGCAGGACTCACTGGGGTTGAGGTGGATATGGTCTCAATGTGGAAGACTGCTGAATATCTACTCTGTCAGGCTGACTGTGGGGGACTGAGACGAATGAACCCTGCCTTCTAGAAAATAGAAAAAACAAGGCATCTATACACATTTTCAAAATCACCTGGCTTGTTGAACTTCTTTTTTAGTAATTAACTTGCTGATCTCCACTGAATCACCAAGCTGCATGTCTGTTATTTTAGAGGCCATAGAAAGAGCAGCTATTCTGAAATATAGAAAAGAAAAGAAGCACTGCATTTTCACAAGAACCTATCCATGTTAGGGATACAGAAGAACTCTTTCAAAACCAATCCACCACAAGACTTGTGGTCTTGGAAGGCTGTCACATGTTTTTAGTACAAGTCTTTAGATTCTAAGCAGCTACCCAGGAAGTCATGCGGTAACCCAACTCCTCAGCCCACTCAGCATCTGGACCAATGCCCAGCACTTGGGAGGTATACAAACACAGCCAGTCTGATGATGTCTGTGGGTCCATGGTACATCTCTACACCTAATCAGAGATACACACAACCAGTCATTCCTTCATACCTCCACTTCTGTGTGGTCAGACTCTGTATGACCACACGGGTTCCAAGACTTTACAAGGCTGCAAAGATGCTTCCCAGAACAATGAGAAACCCCACTCTGGGGAGGGGACACAGGACTTAGCCTTGGCTGTGCCACTATCAGTGACAGGGTAACAAAGTAACTCATTTCACATCTGGATATCTTTCCTTCTTATCTTATGGTATAATAAGAGCAAAAGGGAGAAGAAAAAAAAATGAAAAAGTTCCCTTACAAATTAGAAGTTAGGGGCTGGGGATTTAGCTCAGTGGTTCCACCGCCTGCTTTGCAAGCGCAAGGTCTCGAGTTAGATCCCCGGTACCAAAAAAAAAAAAAAAACCCAAAAAACAAATTAGAAGTTAGGGAAGAAAAGACATATAAGACAACATTTTTTCTTTGAATCAGAGAAGGTAGATTTAAAAAAAAATTTTTTTTTTAAAACCTTCCAACAGGCCGGGGATTTAGCTCAGTAGTTCCACCACCTGCTTCGCAAGCACAAGGACCCGAGTTCGATCCCCGGCACGAAAAAAAGAAAAAAAAAAAGGCTTTCCAACCTTCAGAAAAGATGCAAGGATTTTTCAATAAACATGAGTCCCTTTCACCAAGACCAACAATTGTGAGCATTTCTGCAGCACTAACCTCTGATAAGTACTGGATGCTTCAGAGCAAATCACCATTTCTTTTCTTCGTCCACATTCACACTGTAGCTCTACCTGAGGTAAGATTAACACATAACCACTCTGAGCAAATGAGAACCATGTGAGTGAGCAGGTTTCACTTACAAAGCCTCTCTCTGTCGAGTGTAGTGGCTCATGTCTATAATCCCAGCACTTGGGAGGCTGAGGCAGGCAGATTGCCCCAAGTTTGAAGCCAGCCTGGGCTACTTAGTGAATTTGAGGCTAGCCTGAACCACACAATAAGACCTTGTCTCAAACAAAACAAAACAAAACAAAACCTCTGTCAAATCAAACCAGGGCAGGGCAAAGAACACAGTTGGGAGGGTCAAGATGAAAGAAGCTAACCACACATGCAAACTCATAACACAATAAAAACAAAACAAAACAAACAAAAAAAATTCATAACACAATAGTTGACAGACATGTACAGTTCAAAATGTCCCTTTCTAGAAACTAGTACTATTTTGTTGTTAATCTGGGCTGAAAGAGAAGCCTAGAATGAAGTTTATACCAGTGAATCAGAAGTGGACACTTGCCCCAGCCCAACCAATTGAGGCCTAACCAATCTCACATATCTCTTCACTTTCACCTCCTCAGAGGGCCAGGGATTTAGCTCAGTAGTGCAACCACCGGCTTCACAAGTGCAAGGTCCCGAGTTCAATCCCCAGTACCAAAAAAAAAAAAAAAGACATTCTCACCTCTTCAGAGTTGGCCTTGCATGATTCCCCAGACCATTTCCATGCTCTCACAGCACCCTCTACAAGGACAGAACTACTCTTCTACAAATACTATAGTCATAATTATCATTTGAGTAATCATTTAGTGAATGTCTGTTCTGACAAATTATAAGGGACTAAGTTTCTCTTGTTCACTAGTCCTGCCCCAGAACCTCACACAATGCCCTGCCTGAAACAAGATATTACATATATATTGAATAAATGGAGTAGACAATCAGAGTTTCTTGAGAATGTACTCTAAGGGAGACAAATTGGTCAGGTTGCAAAAGGTACCTGCTAAAATAAAAGGCTTGTGACTTATACCACCTTCTCTTGCTAGCTTAACTTGCAGTTTCTCTCAACTAATGACCCCTGGTTAGGATACTTGCCCAGGCTCTGCTGCAGTCAGCCCTGGATTCACTAGCAGGTCCAGTGATCAATGCTCTACTGGGAGTCTAGAATACCTACCTTGGCTTTACAAGCAGTCACTGGGCAGGGTGAGCTGAGGTGGCAGGGTGCCATACATGGGTGGCCACAGTCAGCTCTGGGGGTGCTGCAGGGCTGCTTGCAGGCCTCATCCACAAGGCATTCTCCTTTGTGACACAGTCTTTGACACTTGTGCATCCCGCATGGTAGCGTGGCACTGCAGGGTAATCCGCAAGAGATATCAACCAGGTGACAGGGGATGTTGCTTCGTAACTAGGAGAGACAGAAGTAGCCAAATTCTCATCTCTGTGTGGGATCTAGGGTGAGTTTTAATTTTCCCTTACAACATTTCAAAATTTACAACTTTTAGAAAATTTTTAAAAAGGTCTGTTTATCTGAAAACAATTATTTTGATTTTTAAAGTCCACAAGGTTTGTTTCAAAAGAAAACAAATCTGAATCTTATTTAATAGTAATATTTGTTATGATCCAAAAAGATTTGTAGCAGCTCAGTGTGACCTGGGAAAAGCTTTTCAAGGTGGCCACAAGCAAAGGACATCAAGTAACTAAGAGTGCTTAAAAATGCTATCATCAACTGGTAAGATAGGTGACCTTCTCCCTCCTTTCCAGGCTGCTAAGGCACTGACTTGAAGACAATCTTACATGTGCTAGGGCAGAGGCTCTATTGGTCCAGAGTTCTGAGACTCCTAGCATGGCCGTTTTAGGTGTTTAAATCTTCAGCTCTCCTCACATCTCCCAACTCATGGTCTCATAACTTCAGGTAGCCCTGCTCATTTAAAAACTAAGAGGCAACAGGTACTCCCAACTCATTTTTTCCTGAGAAACCCTATGCTTTCTGGTTTCTCCACTGCAGTAAAAAAACGATTGGAATTTTACTCCAGTGAGATTAAAGCCTACTTTTATATACTGTATTCATTTCAAATCCTTTTAAGAAGCCTCAAAATGAGGATTATTCTTCTACTCCAGTGACACATATTCTTGAAGAGGCCTCCAAAGTCTAGAACATAGAATGCTTCCAATTGCTTCGGAGTCAGTATTTTGGTAGGATGGGACTCCCATCATTAAACACTTAACCCATGCTAGTACTAGGGCCCTAGGGATAACTTTTGTTCATGGTCTGTCCTCCATCATCTGCTCCTCACATTACCTGCCTATCTTCTCACTATTCTTTAGGATGTTATTTCCTTTAAGATACCTTCCTTTGGTACAAAGCCTTTTGATCCCCCTCAATACCTGGTACTCCCACATTACTGCCTGTTTATATATCTGCCTCCCACCACCAAGTGAAGGCTCCTAAAGGCCAGGGGTCATATCAATGACTTCTGAATCACCCCAAACCTAGCCTGTTACCAGCATATAGTAGATACTCACTTAAGATTTGTTGAATAAAGTTTAAGTCAACAACAAAAGATGAAACATGAATGTTTTAGAATGGATAAACTCACAGAGATGAGATTTTTAGAGGAGGAATTAATATGAAGGACCATGACTTGAGAACCACTCACAGGAAATAAGTGGAGAAAAATGTGTCCATCAAGATAAGAATCCTGAAAGCATGTTGTTACAGATGTCAAGAGAATTTCCAGAAATGTTGATCAACATGTTATGAAGTAAAAAGAACAGGTTACAAAACAGTATAATCTTAACCAGAGTAGGGGAAAGTATGTATCAACACATGCCTGATAGATAAGACACCAGAATGTTAGATCATCTTTCTTGGGCTGGGGATACAACTCAGTGGTGATGCATTTGCCTAGCATGCACAGGCTCTGGGTTCAATTCCCAGCACCCTCCCACTGCCAATAAAAAAAAAAAATTCTTTCTCAGTAGTAGATTTGTATCTTTTCAATTATCTACAGTAAATATGCATTTTAAAAATTCAAAAATATAAGTGTTTAAAAAGTCTATAGAGGACAATGCCAAACAGCTTAGAGGTTAAGAATGATGGTGAAGCCAGGCATGGTGGTGTAGGACTGGAGGCTGATGCAGGAGGATCACTGCAAGTTCAAGGCCAGCCTGGGAGTTCAAGGCCAGCTTGAATTACATAGCAAGAAAAAAAAAGAATGAGGGGGAAAAAAAAAAAGAATGAGGGTGGAAGAGGTATAGGGAGACTGGACGTAGACACTCAGGCCCAGCATAGGCCTAGAGAGAAGATGGCAGTTGGTGGAGAGCCCATCTCTATTCTTGAAAACCCTCACAGAAACACCTTTTCCTAGGCCAGCAACCTCTCCCCACACCAGTTAACCTAGATGTGTTCTCAAAGTCAAATGGGCTGAATCTCATTTTGTTGTGACCAGATTTTAAAAATGATAAACCAGACAGAAAATGCTAACCATTGTATAATTTCATTTCTGCAACATTCTGGATACAACTACAGAATTGGGACAGACAACAGATCACTGGCTGTCAAGGGTTAGAGTGGGAAGGGAGAGTAACTCTAGGGGACTGAAGGAATGTTTAGGAACAAGTGAACTGCTCACTCTTTTCCCCCGCTTCCTGGTACTTGGGGCTGAACCCAGGGATTCCACCCTGAGCTATATCCCTAGTTTTTTTTTTTTGCTTAATTCTTTTTTAAGACTGGGTTTTGCTGGGTCAGGGATTTAGCTCAGTGGTGCCGCTGCCTCCCCCACAAGCACAAGGACTGGAGTTCAATCCCTGGTACCAAAAAAAAAAAAAAAAAAAAAAATTGGGTCTTGCTAAGTTGCCCCGGCTGGGCTTGGACTTGCAATTCTTCTGCCTCAGGCTCCCACGGTGCTGGGAGTATAGCTGTGCACCACCATGCCTGGCCCTGTTCTGCATCTTTCTTTCTTGTGACAGCTGTTACATGATGGTATAAATGCTTTTGATAAAACTCACAGATCTATGCATTAAGAAAGGTAAATTTTATTGTATGCAAATTTTACCTTAAAAAAAGGAAAAATGCACTCAGAATCACAGATTTGAGGTCAGCCTGGGCTACATAGTGAGGCTTTGTCTCAAGAAAAAAAAAGTGGCAATAAAAAGCTTCTGCTTGTTGGAGAATGTTTACTTTCAGAAGCAATGGGATAACAACTCTTGGGTAAGTAAATCATAAATCTCTGGCTGGAACAATGAACACCTAGGAGAGAAACTTACCTCATGCTTGCCCATGCACCACTTCTGAGTCAGGAAAGTACAAGGGGGACATTTTTCCTCACTATGACAAGAATGATATACTGCAGAAGGAGAAAGGTAACATTAGGAATAACTTCTAAATAAAGTCATATAAACTATATACATGTTATAAATGGCATATAACATAAAATTCCAGAGCTTGGGAATACTTTTTCTAAATGGTCACAGCTGGGTGTGATGGCACACACCTGTAATCCTAGCACTTGGGAGGCTGAGCAGGAGGATCACAGTGAGTTTGAGGCCAGCCTGGGTTACACAGTGAGTTCAAGGCCAGCCTGAACTGAACAGTGAGACACTGTCTCAATACACACATACACACACGCAAGCAAACAAACAAAAAAGATATCACATAATTTAATGTCAATCTCTTAACTTTATCTCTATTATCTTTATTCTTTTTTTTTTTCCTCTCCTGTTTTTTTTTGGTACCGGAGATCGAACTCCGGTCCTTGCGCTTGCGGGGTTAGGTGGCGGAACCACTGAGCTAAATCCCCAGTCCTATTATCTTTATTCTTTATTTTTATTTATTAAACATATATTGCTTCTGTAACAACAACCAAAAAACCAAGTTACTTCTAATTTTGTAAAAAGATGCTCAACATTGAAATATGCACCAAAAGCTAAAGTCCTGAAGAAAGAAGAAAAGTCCCTGAAAGACAAGATCCTCTGGGGGTTCTTCCAATCTTTTGGGTATGTTCAACAGCCACAGAGGAAAGCACTAGAGTGTACTGTGAGTGCCAAATGGGGTCTAGATCACCTCAGAAGCACAGGGAGCAAGGGCTATCTCAGCCCCACCTCCGAGGAATGAGGAAGCTACACAGCAACATCCTCAATGACAGAGTATGTACAAGCTGTGAGGTGTGCACCAAGATGAGACTTACCTGGATGGTCACATTCATGGACTCTGGCACAGGTTTGGGTACACTCGGGAGGCCTAGTGCCACAGGGAACTGGAGGGTAGATCACTGATGCGCCACAGTGGCAAGTTAATTCATCAAAACCTGATGGAAGAGGAGGTGAAACAAAACCCTTTGTGAGCTTGGGGTGTGCACATGCATAATTGTTTGTATTTTTAGAGAATAGGGGATGGGGGTATTTTTTAAAAAAACAGACTTGTACTTTATTAAACTTTTACTTTACTAAAACTGAGCTGGTGAAAATCACCCTGAGCCCGACAACTTCCCACACTTCCCTCAAGATATTTCTGATTAGATTAGAAGTCATATTAAGGACCATGAATTTTTAGGATTACAATCCAAAATTGTCAATATTTCATTTCAAAGATCTGTATAGCAAAGTGGATACTTCCTAGCCTTTCTTTTTTGTGGTACTGGGAACTGAATGCAGGGCTTTTGCATTGAGGTACATTTCCAGACCTTTTTATGTTTTATTTTGAGACAGAGTCTCACACTAAGTTGCTAGATTGCCCAGGTTGGAGTTGAACATGTATCCCTCTTGGTTCAGCCTCTCAGAGTGCTGTGATTATAGGCATGTGCCACCTTGCCCAGCTGAAGATTTATTTTCCAATGATCAATGTATGCTACTTTAAAATCATGCATGGGTAAGAGAGCCAGTCAAAATACAAGAAAGAACAATGTATTTTAACATGACAGAGAGCAAATACTGACTCATGTCCTTTACAAAATGAGGCTGAATTCTGGTACATCAAAGAAGAATAATCACAATTATTTGACAAAGTTTTTCTTTTCTTTTTTTTGGTACTGGGGATCAAACTCAGGACCTTGCGCTAGTGAGGCAGCTGCGGCACCACTGAGCTAAATCCCTGGCCCTTTTTTCTTTTGTTTTTGAGACAGGGTCTCACTAATCAGGTTGCCCTTGACCTCACTATGTAGCCCAGACTGGCCTCAAACTTGCCTCAGCCTCCCAAGTGCTGGGATTACAGGCATGAGCCACCACTCCTGGGTCTATGTGAAAAAGTTTAATAATTATTTGTCCCTTTTATAGCTACCTATCTGTAGGAGGCTGACTATTTTTAATATGCCTCAACTACACTGTAACAGACTGAATGCAGAAGCAGATATGAGAATCCAGCTATCTTCTATTAAGCCAGATATTCAATATTTTAATTTTTGAAATGTGCTTTAGCCAGGCATGGTGGAACATGCTTGTAATCCTCTTACTCTGGTAGACTAAGGCAGGAGGATTACATGTTTGAGTTCAACCTGGGCAACTGAGTAAAACTCTGCTTCAAAAAATAAATATAGAAAAATAATAGGCTGAAGATAAATCTCAGGCCCTGGGTTCAATCCCCAGTACCACAATGAAATAAAAAGGTATATTACTATTTTAACATGAAATAATACATTGTTTTTTACTTTTCTCAGTTTTAACTTCTAATATGGTAGAAATAGATAGGTAAACACATACAAAGAGCTCTTTGGGGGTCCTCAATAATTTTTAAGAATGTAAATGAGTCTCAAGACCCAAAAGTTTACTAATCTCACACTACAAATAGACTGCCAATGGCAGAATGTAGGACAATAATAAAAAGCAGGTAGTAAAAGAGGATGCCATCTCAGGTCATTGCTCACACTTCAAATTGTGTAGATTCAGAGACTACAGCACAGCTCTAAAAATACCTCAGAAACATCTCAACGTACCTGAAACACTAAGGCTTAGTTCAATAATCCATATCAAGCTTAAGCAAACCAAGATCTCAAACATATCTGAATTTTCTTAAGATGTGTTGTGTCCATGTACTAATTCCCCAAGATGAATGTAATCATTATATACTGTAAATATTTGAAAATAAAATATGTACCTGAACTTCTAGAAAGCTCTATAATAAAGTATACACTGAAGACACTCACTGGCTTGCCAGCACGTCTGGCAGTTCCCTCGATGACAAGGTTCTTCGCACCTATGAAGGCCACAACGGAGTTTCCTCCCACAAATCAAAGGACACTTGTGTTCCTTATCCTGAAAGAAGAAATCTTTACTTGTTGACAAAATGGTCTCCATTTTATATTTTCCATAAACAAAAACAAGAATAAAAACAAAACTCGAGGGCCGGGGATTTAGCTCAGTGGTTCCACTGTCTGCCTGGCAACTCCAAGGTCCCGAGTTCGATCTCCGGTACCAAAACCAAAACCAAAACAACAAAATATAATACTTGGTTAGGTGTGGTGGCCCACTCCAGTAATCTCAGCTACGCTGGAGGCTGAGACAGGAGGACTGCCAAATTCTAAGCCATCCTGAGAAACTTATCAAGTTCCCTCTCAAAACAAAATTTGAAAAAGGGCTGGAGATGTAGCTCAGTGTTCGAGTCCCTGCCTAGAATTCACAAGGTCTCAGAACTGAAAACAACAACAAAATCCCACTATACTCATTTTGGCTACTGATCTGGCCCAAAGAATATAGGAAACCCAAAGACTAGTTGCTATATCCATGCCAGTCTGTTAGGATAACACATAATCTCCTGCAGAGGACTTGTGTCCATGTAGTATTCTAGGGTCTGTAGCCTTTTGTCTTTCTCTTTCTTTTCCTCCATGCTGCCACTGGATGCCACTGGCTGACTTCTTTTTTTTTTTTTTTGGTACCAGGGATCAAACTCGGGACCTTGTGCTTTCGAGACAGGCGGTGGCTCTGGCTGACTTCTTGATCTGGCTGAGGACTAAATGCTTAGCCTGTCTCTCTGCTGAGTGGGTCTGGGGACTGTGAAAGCTTTCCAACTGCTACTTAGGGACACTTCTGATTAATTTCTAAATCTAGGCCACATTCTAGGAGGCCAAGGCTTCCAGAGCTCAGGCTCTTGACAAATGGAATCTGATTATGCTTAATGACAGTCTACTTACCACACAGCATATCTCGTTACATTTATGCCGTCCACACAACCGTTTCTTGTTACACCGCTTGTCACATATAAATGTAGCATCTGCTATGGCCAATTAAAAAGAAAAAAAAACACAAAAAAATAAAGGTTAAGTTGGAGTATTATTCAGTCACAGAAATGAAATACTGATGTAATGGGATAATATGATGTCCAAAAACATGGTAAATGAAAAAACCCAGGTAGAGGGCTGGGGATTTAGCTCAGTGGTGCCGCTGCCAGCCTTGCAAGCACAAGGTCCCAAGTTCGATCCCTGGTACCAAAAAAAAAAAAAGAAAAAGCCAGGTAGAAAAAAGATATATTACATGATTACATGACTCCATTTATATGTAATATCCAGAAAAGGTAAATTTATAGAGATAGAAAGCCAACAGTTGCATAGGGGAGAGCTGAGTGTAGAAAGAATGGCTAAGCAGCACAGAATTTCCTTTTGGGGTAATGAAAATGTTTTGGTACTAAATAGAAGTTATCATTAAACAACACAGTACTAAATGCCACTGAACCATACCCTTTTAAGTGGTTAATTTTATGTAAATCTTACCTCAAAAAAAAAGTGGGCTAGGATGCTTAAGTATATATAAATGAAATTATATTTAAGATTTGTTTTCAAAGTATATCCACAAAAATTAATAGTAGAGAGGAAGGAACGGATGATTATGAGACAAAATGTTAACTGATGAAAGATGACAGGTGTGGGAGGGTTCACTGTACGGGTCTTTCACACATAACTAAAAGTTTTCATTATAAAGTTTTAAAAACTACCAGGTATGGTGGCGCATGTCTGTATTCCCAGCACTCTGGGAAGCTGAGGAAGACAGATCGCAAGTTCGAGTCCAGCCTGGGCAATTTAGTAAGATCTTGTCTCAAAATAAACCATAAAAAAAGGGGTGAGGATATAGCTCATTGAGAAGGCTTAAATAAGACTGTGATGGTTATCAAGAAAGGGACAGAAGCAGAATGGAGTGGGAAATGAGGATCAAGAACTAAGGAAAAACCAGGCCTCAAGGTTAAGAAGACTGCTAGGGGGCTGGTGATGTAGCTCAATGGCAGAGTGCTTGCCTAGCATGTGCAAGGTCCTGGGTTCACCCCTGGTTCAAAAACCCAAAAACACAAGGCTGTTGGTTGTGTCCCTGGTGGTATCCAGCAGTCCTACAAGACTTAAGGGGATCAAGTATCAGAGTCAGTGTGTAAAAGGTTATTAGGTATTATTTGTCCTTCAGCCATATTTCATTATGAAAATTTCAAACATATCAAAAGATGAAACACTTTTATAGTGAACACCTATATGTCTACTACCAAGCTTCTATCAATTATATGCTTATTTTTTTCATATATCTATCAATTTTCCTACTTGCCTATTAATTTGTTTTTTAAATGTATTTCAAAGTAAGCTGCAGACATGAGTACACTTGGTCCCAATTTTTTAGCACTTGACTAATGAGAATTCAATTTATAGGGCCGGATATTTAGCTCAGTGGTTTCACTGCCTGCTGCAGAAATGCAAGGATCCGAGTTCGATCCCCAGTACAAAAAAAAAAGAGAGAGAGAATTTATAATTTTTTTCCCTTTGGAGGTAAAAGTTATACAGTGTAATGCACAAATTTTAATTGTATATTTGCTAAATTCTGAGAAATACATAACTCAACCCTCTATTAAGCTTCAGAACATTATCTTCATCCCAGAAAATTTATTCATTTCCCTTCTGGGTCTTACCTTCACTTTTGAGACTGGTACATGGAAGCTCCTATGGAAAAAGGAAAAGAACAGTAAGTATTTTAGGAATTACTGAAACACTACCTTATAGGATAATGCCAAATGTAACAAAGACATTTATTCACCAATTTCACCTGCCTGGAGCTAGTCAGATTATATCAATGTGCTCACAACAGAAGCCTAGGTTTAATGACTTTTCATGGAAGTACAATTACAGCAGTCTTTGTAGTCCGGCTGCTAAATGCAGAGAAGATTAGGCATTATGAAGTCTGAATTTTCCATTCTTTCCGAAGGGCTGCTAAAGGTATGCAAAGCAAAGAGAAGTAACCACCTGACCAACTGCAGACAGAAAAAGCCATCAAAAGCAGTTGAAAAAACTGAAAATAAATCAGCCATTGTAGTGCATGCCTAACCCCAGTCAGTATGCTGGGAGGCTGAGCCAGGGGTTCTGCAAGTTCAAGCCCAGCCTGGCCAATATAGCAAGACCCTGTCTCAACAAACAAACAAATGAGTGGAAATCTGGACCCAGGGCCTGGATTCCAAAGGAGCCAGAGCTTTTTGCCTAGGGTTCTGAAAGAGGTGAGCCTTCTAAATCGAATTAAGGTCAGGGATTTGAATAAAACTGAATAAAAAGGAAAACAACAACAACAACAACAAAACCAAACAAATGAATAAAAAGGGCTCAGGACATAGCTCATTGTGAAGGCCCTGGGTTCAATCCCCAATCTCTCTCTCTCTCTCTCTCTCTCTCTCTCTCTCTCTCTCTCTCACACACACACACACACACACACACACACACACACAGAAAAGGTTAAATAGATTAAGGTAGATATGGTGGCACACACCTAGATCAACTACTCAGGAAGCTGAGGCAGGAGGATTCCTCGTTTAAAACCAGCTGGGGCAATTTAGTGAGACCCTGACTCAAAGAAAATGGGAAGGGGAGCTGGGATATAGCTTAGTGCTTTCTAGGTTCCATCCTCAGTACTGCAGAACAACAACAATCTGGTTCCATTTTATGTATAGGCAAGCATTTGTGCACACTCAAGACCATTCTGACATTGTATAACTATAGCAAAGTGAAATATAGCAGATCTTTGGCCCTCTAATATGAGGTTGTTGTGTAAGGAGCAAATCAGCCACTCGGCACAGAATGAGCCTGGATGGCCGCCCAGCATCTATATCTAAATTTGGCTTTGAGCACTCAAGATACGCCACCATACTTACAGAGCTCATGGCCAGATTAACCCATACATGAGCGCCCTCTGACACACTGGGATGATCCTTACTGAAAAGGAACAAATTGTTCCTAAACCAGAGGAGGAAGTTGCACAGAAGAAAAAGATATCCTCAAACAAAAACTTACAGCATGGGAATAAATTAGGCATAAAATAAATGCGAATCAAAGTAAAAAAAAACTTTGGCTTTGATGTCACTTACAGGTTGCCATGTACTCAGAAATTGGCAAAATAATAAACTCTTAATTAAGCAGTTATTGGAACTGATAACAGACGTGAAAAGGTCTAAGAAACTGAAGGCTCTTGGATAGAAAATAAATGTTTATTTAGATTAAAAAATGAGTTTGCTGAGACAGGTAAGAAAAAGCTTCCCATGTGCTCTTTAGAGATATAAAGCACATGTGACTCATGAAACTGCTCTCTTGTTAATGCAATCACTGGATTGTACAGAGAAATTATATGCTGGGTTATATTTCAAAACCCGGGAAAGGCAGGGTTCCCTAAATACCTAAAATGAATTGCTAATAAAAACTTAAATATACCATTCTTTATTAGAGGTAGTAAGATAAAGCATATAATTCTCAAAGTGATAAAAAGAATTAATCACCTTTAAAGCTTTAAGAACTAAGTTTTAGGGCCGGGGATTTAGCTCAGTGGTGCCTCATCTGCCCTGCAAGTGCAAGTACCGGAGTTTGGTCCCTGGTACCAAAAACACAAAAACAAAAAAAACCTAAGTTTTATTTATCAGAAAACTCATTTCAGTGAAAAAACCCATTCCATTCCAAAAAGCATTTCAAGAAAAAAATCCACATTCATATAAAATTTGGTTGAACAGTGAGATGATTATTTATCATCTTTTCTGTTTGTTTTTTTGAGACAGGGACTCCTTATATAGTTGAGGCTGGCCTTGAACTCACAGCAATCTTCCTCCTTCAACCTCCCACCTGCTGGGATTACAGGCATGCACCATCACACCCAATGATGATCATCAGCTTGCCAAAAAGGGTTAACAGAATTCGTATTTATAGTAAGTACCTTCAGCACTTACAGAAAAAGGCTTATCTGCAAAAATTCAATTAACACATGGCTTTTCAAGGATACACTTACATACCCATTATTAGAGGGTCTGAGAAAGCAGTGTAAGAAGCAAGAAAGCAGGTAACAGGATTATTGGAGAGAATGCAGCAAACAGAGCTACTATTTTTACCTTTTAGGTCCCAACCTTGCTTGTAACTCTTGCTCACAAGAGTCACAAAGAGCAGCTCTGAGCATAATTGAATTGATGATTACTAATTCTCACAGCCTTTGTTTTTTTTTTTTGTCCTAGAAATTGAATCCACAACCTCATGCATAGTAAGCACATGCTCTGTCACTGAACTGTACCCACAGTCATTAACATGTTCATGGCAGGCCTGTAATTTGTATACCTCACTGCTGGG